CGGACCTAAGCCCACGCACTCCCCTCCTGCCCTGCGCTGCTTAACCAACAGAAAGCACAGCCCTCCTCCCCGACTCTGGGACGCTACCGCCTGCTAACTCTTGAAGCCCCTAACCCCAAATAGAAACTGCCAGAACTGAGACGTCTGGCTGGAAGGTGATCGGCATCGGTTTGGTGCTGGAGCGCATCATGAATTACGTTAGGGCTGGCGTGGGCTTGACGGTGTAGGAGTTCGGGCACTGGGCTTGGTCTATCTTGCCTCGGCTCAGACAAAAGCACAACAACAAATGAGACCAAGTCCCGCGCCAGATTCGATTTGGAAGATCCGAGGTCTGTATCAGTGCTACTTAGCGCTTTTTGACTTCAGTACTGTCTATGCGGAAAGCTGACGTCTGCCTCTACAGCCCGCAGGGCTTCACAAAACGGGCTCGCTTAAGACGTCTTCTGTGATATTTCCACAGCGGCCCAGCCTGGGCTCCAGAACCTCCGATGGCGTTATTCGCCAGCTTCAGCTCCTGTGCCGGGAGGGGGTTGTAGGAATGCGAACTTGTGGCATCTCAGAGCTCAGAGAAGAGGCGGCCGCACGGCGATTTTGAGGCTTGCTGCTGCCCTGGGCTTCAGCTTCGGGGCGATTCAGATCGAGGCTTCGCGACAGATATCTCGCACTGCACCGCCTTGAGGTTTTTTCATGAAGTCAACAGGACGTGATGACTGTGCACAAGCTATGCCACCATATCCCTCCAAGATGCCTTGCAAGTTGACCTGACCGACCACGGATAAAAACTATCGTTATCGTTGTGATACCCCATGCTTTGCAACGCGAGGTGCTGCCTTCTGCGCTTTCGGCACTGCGCACCACCTGTCCCACCCTAAACGCAATGACGCAGCTGCCCCCACTGCGCAGGCAAGCTTGGCAAATCTGAGGACTGATGGCCGACCCTTCGCGACATCCCACGCGACTCAAAACCAAGGGTGGCTTCCGGGAGTGCCTCAACTGGAAGCTCCTTATTGGACCCTCTCAGCCAGAAACCCTAAACATCCCGAAGCCCGAAACCGATGAGGAATGTGGCAGCCGCCCATGAACCCACAGCTTCGACAGAGGCTCCAAGATCCCTTTCAAACTTCGGGGGGGAAGATTCCTTCAACTCGCGGTGTTTAGGGTTCAGGGCTTTATAGGGTTTGGAGAGAATCCTACAGCTATTTAAGGAATTTTCCTTGCTTAAGGGTTTTTGAGCTATCCTTCACATTTGATCAGTCAAACCCGAATAGCATGCCGCTCCCAAGCAGAGCTCCCCGGCGACCTTTACAAACTTTCCGGCGGAGACCGGCAACTGGCGGTCCTCGATGTTCGGGAGAGCTTTCAGTGCGTCTCCCAGGGCCTCCACACACAAGGCAGCTTAGGGAGAGCGAGGCCCAAGCTAAGGGAAAACTTGCGCCAAACGGGTCTTGGAAGTTGGGAGGGCCATGTCCCGGACTTTGACTCGTCACAGTCCGAGTCTCTCATGAGGACTCCGCATGAAATGCTTTTTGTACGCACTTAAGACGGAACAGGCAGTGCACCTGCACCGAACAAATCCCAACTTGATCAACTCCAGGCCTGCGTCCCCACATCGCCGAAGCCATTGTTGTCCAGGCATAGGTCTCGTAGGCCCTTGTGGTCTGCCAGGCCCTCGGCGATGGCCTGCGCACACGCAGAAGTGCACCTTCGGCCTTGAAACTTGCAACTTGCCATCACGCCGCCGGATGTCCAAAATGTCTTCAGGGCCTGCCGACTCCAAACCTTTTCCCCCTCCCAAGGCCTGGAGGCCGCTGTCGCCGATGCGATTGCCGAACAGATACAGCACCCGCAGCGAGGAGTGGCCGCCCAAACCAGCTCCAAGGGCCTCCGCAGACGACCGAATCTATAGGACTCTTTGTCTTTTGGAAACGGTGTAGGCATCATGGGCTGGCCGGGCCAGTACCCTTGTCCGGGGATTCTATAGGATGGCCAAGTTCTGTTTCCTAGGCTTGGCGGCACGTAGTTGTAGAACCCTCCCACAAAGTGGGAAAGTCCTTGCTGAAACCCAAGGCAACCCCCCCTCCCCCGCGGGCTCGCGCATGCAGGCCAACAAAGGGGCGTAGAGTACCGACATCTTTCTATTCGCAAAATATACATACAGAGGAAAGGAGGTTGAAAGTTCATGGCGGTAAGAAACTATATGCTTGGCGCAGGACGAGTATTGGAATTGCGAAAGTACTTCAGTGGACAAGATCTCTTATCTTCGATCCTTAAGGGGGGCCAACCCCTCACTTGTGACCATAAAATCTTCTCACTTGTGACTGTTTTTTTCTCTCACCTGTGACTATAAAATCTTCTCACTTCTGACCGTTTAAAGCTCACTTACGACCATGAATTCTAAAAAACACGCAGCTCCCGCGCGAGAGGGGTCAAAAACTCACTTGCGTCTATTTTTTTGGGGGGGTGGCTCACTTGTGACTATTTTTGTAGTCACAAGTGAGTGTTGATTTTGGGGATTTTGCTTTGGCATTTCTAGCAGATGGACGGAGGCTCGTCTCTGCGGAGCTTGGTCCGGGCTTCTCCCGGTGGCCCCTCCTAAGGTCCTGATGCCTTCCTGCACGGCTCGAGCCTTCACAGGGGGTTATGGCCTGATTGGCTGGATTTGGCCATCCACATGTTTGCTCGTGAATGGACGCCCTGGTCTGCTGGTCTTTCGTTTTCTCCAGTGACGTGTCGCAGCCTCCTTGCTGGAAATCCATGCCGATACCCTACTGCAACCTCGCCGCAGACCATGGATACCCACATGCATCCACAGGCCACCGCAACAAAAACAACTTTTCAAAATGCTTCAAGGTGCGCGCAGCTTTTGCCCATCGTTTGAAGTCTATAGACCTCTTCCTCAGCTAGCTCCATTGAGAAGCCGCCACAACTAAGATGGAGGACCAGCATGAAAGTTTCCTCCGGTGCGTTTTGCTTTTGAGTACCGGTTGGTGCTTGACTGCGTCGTAGTTTGGGCCCTGGGTTTGGCCAGCTGCCGGGCTCAGAAGGCAAAATCACCGAAAAAGACAGAAACACAATAACAGTGCACCGCTACAGGAAGTGCACGGACCACGAAGCAACCTGCCTCATCCCCGAGAGTCTAGATGCAACTTGTCGAGTTTTCGGCATGACGCAGTGTCTTGTCTCAGTCGTTTACATTGATTCCGAGTTTTTGCAAGACTCTGCAATTACTTAATTGTGCGGGAGATTGGCTCCTGCCACTGGAAAGCCCCCTCCCAAACGTTTCGAGGGCTTCCACACGACGTCAGATCTCGAGAGGACACGCAAGCCCAAAGCGGCACCCTGCATCCCGTAGAATGTGTAAATGCAGTCTCTTAAGAAGTCAGATCTCTTTTTGTTCCAGCCCTCCCGCGCGATCACGGCAAAACGCTTTGGATGAGTATTTGCAAGCTCCATGCAGCAAATCCCGATAGAAATTGTCTCTGACCACATGCATCCACATGCCGCCTACAAGAGCCTCCTGAACACGTTCTGTGCACTTTCTCCTTTGCCCAGCACCCACTCCTCTCACCCCCCGGGCCCGTTTTAAAAAGAGGTGGGGACTGGGCGCCGAACCTATTTGGGCTCCAAGAAGTTTGTCCAGTCTAGCCGCCACTTTTCAAACCCAACGCTTCAGCAAATCTTCAGACTAAAGTTTAAAACACGATCTTCGTTTCAAGGCTCAGCCTCCGAAATTTGGCAATGAGTCGTGCAGTCTACAAAAGGCCCGGGGCTTGGGCTTCCTGCCTTCTTGTAGATCTTTCATACCCCGCCAGCGGTGGGTCTACACCGCACCACCCTCAGTTGGAACCCGGCTCCCCTCAAGAAGAAGCGCCCACGAAAATCGGGAAGGACACCGCAGAGAACCCGACCCCGCCACTTTTGAGAGGCGGCCACACTTCGGGAGAGGCAGAGCAGGCGGAGCGGGTGCGCCCCCACCTCGGCCTCTGCGTCTCCGAAGCCGGAGTATATCAGCTTCAGCTGCCGCAGGTGGCTCCAGGGCAGCGCCCGCACCAGGGCCTGGCGCGGGGAGAACAAAAAAGGAAGCTGCATAGGGCTTATTCGGAGCTCATAAGCCTTACAAAAAAGTCTTGTAGGATTTGCAGGGCCTTTATGCGATTTTCCTGCAATTTAAGAAAGAAAGGAATGGGAGGCTCGGGGCATGCTCTGCAGGGGGGCGCGCGCTCTCCTGCCTGGAAGGCCTCGCCGGTCAGCTCGCTGTTGGCCACTGCCACCTCCTCCAGCCGCTCGTAGTGCGGCAGCGCCCGGGCCAGCACCTGGACCTGGGCTTCGGGCAGGTGCGCCAGAACCAGCCCCGTGGCCTCGGCCGCCTTCTCCCGAAAGACCTTGGCCTGGAGCTGCAGCACCGGCTCCAGGTCCGACCGGTGGGTGAACTTCAGGGTCCCCCTCTCCGCTTCGGCGCGGAACTCCGAGGGCGCCATGGGCGCCTCTGAGTTCCGGCCTTCGCGGAAGGGGATCCTGATGCTCTTCCAGGGGCAGTCACGGGCCAGCGACCACTGCACCTCCGCCCTGCACCAGCCGCGCTGCAGGTACGGCGTGCTGTTCCGGTGCAGCTGCGGGCAGGGCGGGCTGCAGCCGAAGTGGCATCCCGCACCGCAGCTACCTGTCTCGTCGGTGTCCCGCAGCTCGGCCAGCGCCACATCCGTCACGGCGTTGTCGGGGAGGTAGAAGACCTTAGCGGTCCCAGGCAGCTCGGGCCCGGGCCGGTCGTGGAGGCCCGGCGTCAGGTCCTCGATCCTTAGCGACCAGGTCGTGTTATGGGCGTACAACAGGTGCATGTTGGCCATGCCCTTCGCGAAGTAGACGTCCTGACGGAAGCGCATCTGTAGGCATCGCAGGCCCTCATGTCCCCACGAACCCCCCCCTCAAGAGAAAGCAACGCAGAAAAAGCCACAAAAACGACGCATGGCTCAACTCTACACTCAGCCCTGTCCAAGCCCATCCTGCTCTTCAGTTCTTGGGAATTGGTACAGAGACATGTAATCCACAAAGATGGCCGCCTGGCACGTGTCCGCATTTGGCGCTGCACTTTACTCACATGCATCTAGCCATGATCTGAAAGGCTTCCTAGGGGTGTGGAGGCGGCAGGCAACAAGCTGCTCTCAGCTGGGCCGTTTCAAAGAGCAGCTTTTTGGGAGCCTCAGGGCATCTCAGGGCTCCACTCGCACATGCGAAATGACCTTCCCTACCTTGCAAAAAAAATGTGTTCCGAGCAGTGCCCAGTTGCGCCTCCCAGTCCTTGGCGAGGTTCTGGGCCGGGGCGATCTTCTGCAGGATCTTCGCGAAGGTGTCAAGTGCTTCTACCAGCACTCGCAGCCTCAGGCGCTGCAGCGGAAGTGACAACAGAAGAGGAACTAGTCTCTTCAAAATCAGACAAAGGGATGGCTACTGCACACAGTTTACAGTTACAGATTGCGAACCTGAGCCACTGAGCTGGGGCTCCCTGCTGGAACCTGGCCACGTCCGGGATCTCGCGGCTCTCCCACGAGTGTGAGAGAGCCATGACCGAGAAGCGGTGGGTCCATTCCACGTGGCCACCTGGCAGCTTCGCCTCCAGCTCCTCCTGGGCCAGCAGAGCCGGGCGGCCGTCCTTGGTGCGCATCCCCTCGGCTTCCTGGCGCCGGGGCATGGTGCGGCCCTCTGCCAGGAGCTCCCGGAGGAAGTCGGCGCGGACGAGCCGCACCTTGGCATCCCGGCAGTAGGCCAGCAGGCCGCTCTTGTCGCGCAGGCTGTAGATGGCTACCTGCGCAGGCGCGGCGAGCTTGACAAGCTGGGGGCACTCAAAGTGCGAGGGTGTGTGACATGAAGCGATCTTGTGATGATTTCTGGAGACTGAGCTTGGGCGCTCATTAACGACTTGAATGGGCTTGCCCACATGAACACGATCGAACACTGGCTGCTAGAAGCTATCACGTTTCTGGCAGAAGCAGCCCTTGGGGACTTGGTCGGAGCGACTCTCCCAGACAAGATGGCATACAATAGCAGCTTGCCGGGCGCGCGTCAGCGAACTACTACACGAACCTGGCATAACCTATACTATACACATAAAGAAAAATTAGAACAACACATTGCAGCACCCGAGCCCATCCGTCGGTGCACAAGAGGGATCAGGGAAGCGGATGCGCAAGAACCCTAAAAATGCAGCCGCGCCGCCTCGGCTTTGGACTCCGGCTCCTATGAGGCTCCCAAAAGCTGCTCTCTGCAACCCACTTGCTGCGCACACATCCCCGCAACTGCACCCGCAGCCACTGCAAAACCAGAACCGCCCTTCGTCCTCCTTGGCGGGCTCGGAGGGCTCGGCGGCTTCCTCGGCTCGGCTTCTTTAGCACATGCTCAGAAAGCGGCCCGAGTCCGCACTCCAAGAGAACCCTCCCTCTCGCAAGTGAATGAAAAAGAACCTGAATGAGGTCACGAACATCACGGCGAAGTCGAGCATCTACTGTTGGAATCTGCCATTGGATTCAGAGGGCATGTGATGCTTCATTCTTTCAACTCACCGTCAAAGCCCAAGGGGCTGCCTCTGCAGGTCGATCGGCGGGAGATCCTTCCTTCACACCACCTCCAGATCCTTCCGGTGTTCGAAATGCCACAAGAAAAAGTGCTATGTACTTGTAGCCTTGTATAATCTTGTATATATATATATATATATATATGCGAATGATCCCTGATGCGAAAGTGCCCCGAAACCCTGAGCGAGCCCCCGGCCTGCCGCCTGGCTCGGGGCCTGCAAAGTCTGCTCGCGCAAGAAATCATCGCGCTTGCAACACCATGGAATACTGCAAGGCCTCAACTGTATACTCAGTGTTTGGGACCACGCAGGTTTTCCAAGGTACAGGCATTACACACGGCCTTCTCTGCAACTCTGGCCGGATCCGGCTTGGCGTGTCGCACCGGAAGCATGCGACAGTGTGTGGGCGCTGAACTACATCGAACATCATGATACGCAAGTATTCCCCCCCCCCCCCCCGCAATTCTAAAATTCGCCTCGGCCGGAAAATGTTAAAAACTAGGGGGGCCTAAACCCAAAAAAACCTGAAATCCGAAGCCTAAACCTCAAAGCCGAAGACGAGAGAGATGTGGTAGTTACTGCGACCTATAGGGTTTGGAGTTTGGGGTTTAGGGTTCAGTCAGAGCCTTGAGTCCTAAACCCTGAAAATCCTCTGAGCCTCAAGCCCAAAACCTTGTTTGAAAACCCTAACTCAAGGGCGAGGCCCTCCAACCATTCTCAAGCAGGTTTAGTATCGGGCTGGGTGCCGGGAGGGTCCGAGAAAATAGTGTTTCAAATTTGAGGGTGGGTTTTTTTTTTTTAAATAGGGGGAGGGGATTATGGCATAACCTTTCTCTGGCCTTTTGGGGGACTTTCGGGCTGGTGAGACGCGATCTGACCACTACATGCTTCAGCTTGGAGGTCTAACATAGGCCTATGAACTCCAGGGACCTGGGCTGCATCTCATGCTTTCCCCACAGAACACTCCCAAACGTATTGGTACCTTTCAACCCAGAGTTGCCGGTGAAGATCCCGCTTCACGCCATCGGATTTATTGCCAGGGTTGCTAAACGGGTGCCGGGTTTGTGAGGTTGCTGGGCAGAGCCACCTTTGCCTGGGAGGCTTCGCGGCGCGGGTCCGTCGAGGCACGCCCCATCCTCAGCTCCGGAAGGAATGAAACTTGGGAAGCTGGGATGCAGCTGCCGGTCAAGAAAGCCTCTCAAAATCCTGAAACACATAAACCCCCAAACCCCTATAAGCCCATAAAGCCCATAAAGCCCATAAAGCCCATAAACCCTAAACCTCTGTGGCCCCTATGAGGCTCCGGCTCTTTGGGCTGGGCCGGGTATCCCGCGGACTCTGACGTCCTCGGGCCGCCAGAAGTGGAGGAGTCATGGCGAGTTCGAACCTTTCTAGGATCTAGGTAGAGGGCTTTGAGGGTGTGACTACAAGGGGTTTCAGGGTCTAGGGTTGCAACTTAGAACTGTGCTGGTGAACCTACGAAGACGTCTCGTGTTCTCTTGCTTGGGGAGCGTGGAAGTACCCTCTTCTGAAGAGCTCTAGAACCACGAAAATGTGAATCTCGCTTCCTTCCTTCCCACCAAAAAAGCCCGGATAAGCTGCGCAGGGGCGTGTCAATTTCTTGCCCTGAAATTCAAGCCTGACGTGAAAGAGACGATAAGGGTTCAGTCGCCGCCTCAACTGCAAGCCCAAACCAGAGGCTCCGGCGAGGGCGATTTGGTGTCCTCCGTGGTGATTGCTTGGGTTTGAGGTGGTCCGTTCAGCTGGGGGTCAAGAGATCAACCGCGCAATCCTCCTGGGGCGATCCGGACATGGCCGCAGGCAAGTGAAGGCACCTAAGCAGGCTGATCTCGCGGATGATTTCGGGCACGTCCGAGAGAGCAATGCGGATTCCTCTTTGCAAATGAATCCTTAAGAAACTCTTAAGAACCCTCAGCCCAGGAACCTCAAACTATTGAGCTTGGGAGGTTGCACCTCAATGCAACTCTGCGGGCATGACAGCCGACGTCTAGGCTACAGTTGTTCCAGTAGAATGCGTAGTTTTGGGACGCTTTGAATATGAAAGTTACCTGGATTATTAGGTGATCCTCTTGGAAAGCAATTCTTAGTGGCCCCAGTATTTTCATCTCCGCCTGAAATCGGGCTTGAGGATGGGCGCACGTCTCGGATCAGGAGACCATCTCGAAGCAGCTGGACATTGAGCGATCTGCAACACAGGCTCAGACGCGGGCGTGCGCGCAAAATGGATGTAGTTGCTGTTGGTCTCCTAGGCAGCTCAAGCAGGCAAGTCACTTCCGCGGTGCACAAAGCGGGCTTCCCCCAAACCCGCTGGGGTGCAATATGCAAGCGTCAGCGCCGCCCGAAAATCCTCTACGAGCTTAGAACCCTAAACCATCTGAAACCTGAACCCTCTGAACCCTACAAACCTTCGAAGCCATGAATGTCACTATGCACTCTCGGCCCCGACAATCCTGCATACTTCTGGGACAGACCTCTGTAGGCTCAGATGCAGGACACAGCCAGCCCGGAACAACCCTGACCCCGAAACACCTTTCGCCGTAAACCCAAGAGCCGAAACCTGTACGGGGCCTATGAGCACCAGCACAGAATTCACGGGTTCTACCCTACAGCCCTCTCAAGCCTGTGCCAGAGAGCACACTCTCGCAGCTTCTCACCCCACTTCAACGCCACTCAGTGCAAAAGGGGGGGCTCAGGAACCCGGAGGCCCAGAGGTACGAGAAGCACGACATGCCCTAAGAGCCCAAAGCGCGCGCCTCGCAGGTGCCACGCGAGGGGGCCGTCTGTCTGGGACTATGGCAGTGGACAGGTCGCCGAGACCAAGGGATGAGGCTCGGAGTTGCTACGTATATATATATATATGTATATGGTGGACTTTCACGCAGAAATCTGCAGGGTGGATAAGGAATTTGCACAAGGACTCAGGACTTCAGAAGGTTTAGTGATAGTGGTTTAGGAACCCGAATGCGTGCAAGATGCAGATGAAGATATCTCAAGACGATTCGAATGCAGATCCTTTCCGGCACCGTGCTAGAGATCGTGTGGCTCCGAGCGTAGTGACTTCGGAACCGCTGCCGGCAGGACTTAAACTTGAAGCAGCCATTTGCAACTTACGCTTCAAAGGGCTCCTATCTGCTCTAGTCTGCCTGCAGGTGTAGATCTCTGGTGCATGTGGAGAATGGTGCGGCAAGCTCCTGAGATGCTGGAACTCCGAACGGCTGCGGAGGCGGCAGGCAAGTCAGTCATGGCATGATGCCCTGTAGCCAAACCACGAGAATCAAGAAGCTTACCGCAGGAGAACATGAAGGCCTCTCATGCATGCATCCGGTTCTATAAGGATGGACTGTGAACACAAGCCGAGGGTAAAAATGGGGCCCTGTGGAAACTACCAGTTGATCTCGTGCGCACTTGCCTCAAACCCTATTTAGACTCAAAGGATCAAAATCTGCACAACCCCGGAACCCCCTAAACACCCAAGCCCTGTAAACCCTCAATGCCCTACTCCCCTGGTTCTTGGTAGGGAATTATTAAAGAATCAGGGCCCTCTCTATACCCTTTGAGGGAGTAGATAGGGTACCTCAACCCCTCAGTCTCTACGAAGAACCAGCCAGTACTTTGCACTTCAGGCTCTGAGACACCCTGCTTCGGGCTCGAGAGAAGTGGGAGGCTTAAGGTGGCAAGTCGGGGGGGGCCTTAGGGTCCGGATATTTAGGGGACTTTCCAGGGTTTTTAGGGGTTTAGGGCTTTTTTTTTTGGTCTTGGGTTGAGAGTTGGTTGCTGAGTTTGTCATGGGCACTCGTTGAGGCTCCTCATGGCTTGGCCCAGATCATCCTGCTTCTCATATACGGCGAGATTTTTTTTTGGGCATTCGGCAGCCTCGTGCGGTCCGGATTCAGCCATTTGAAGAGGCGAACCAGTTAAATGCTCACTCCTCTAGGATGGTGTCCTGGGGCCCAGGAGATAGGAGGGAGGAGAGAGAGAGAGAGAGAGAGAGAGAGTGAGTGAGAGAGATTCGCCCTGCAAACTCTAAGTGTACGGCGTCTATACAAGTCTTCTACAGTACAGTACAATAGTCTAAAAAACTACCCATCTGCTATGCCAAACAAGCAACACCTGTCGCGCATCCTCACGCCCCCTCACCCTCTGAGTCTTCCTCTGTCGGCAGTGTCATTCTTTCCATACCATTCCCCAGGCCTGAAGTACCGAAAAACGAGATGCCCTTATGCATGTATGCATGTATGTATGTATGCCTGTGTGCGCTTGTTTCATACAATACACCTGCTGCAGTGGACCTATATTGCAACCATAGGAGACCTGAACACAATCAAATAGAAGACCAAAAATGTGGGTTTACGAAAATAGGTGACCCCAAATAGTAGGATCCCCCCCCCTTTCTTCAGGACCCTCATAAGGTACCCCCTTCATAATCGTAAACCCCCCAAATCGCCATATACAGCCTCTACTCACATGTGCCCGGTTCCATCTCCAGGGCTCCTCCACAGCCACCACGCGTGCCGGCCTCGCTGGGACGAAGCTTCGCGATCTAAGGGAGCTTGTAGAGGGATTGAAATGGAGATTCTAGGGTTGAAAAAGGGATGTATATAGGAATTCATGTAGGGCTTACAGGATTTACAGAGGGTTGTTTGAGGGATTGACGGGGTTCATGCAGGGATTTGGGGGGTCTAGGAGGCATCTAGAATGGGTCGCCCGCAATCCCACATCTGGTTTGGGGTCTCGGGTTTCGGGTTTCGGATTTCGGGCTTAGGGTTTAGGGTTTAGGGTTTAGGGTTTAGGGTTTAGGGTTTAGGGTTTAGGGTTTAGGGTTTAGGGGCCCCACTAAAGGGAAGGGCGAAGAAGGCCACCCAACCAGGACGCGGGATGGCGGGTGCAGCGGGTGCACTCGACGCAAGACGGGCCGGGGGGGGGGGGGGGGGGGGTTTCCTTCTCTTCAAAAAACCGTGGTCCTGGGAAACTGCAGCGAAGTTGAGTGTCCAACTAGTTCTCTTCCAAGCGGCGGGCTGCCCATCGGCGTTGGCTCACCAGAGCTTCGCAGTGATGGGATGCGCACGTTTCTGACTTAGATGTAGCAGGAATCCAGCAGGAATGCTTCTTTCCACGTTCCAGCTTGCTTGTTTTTATTGGTTGCCTGCCCACGCAGCTGTGAGAACATGCCGGACACGTTGACGGACTAATGGTAAAGTCGTCTTGTTCTGATATTGAAGCTGCTGCCTGGTTTCGTGCTACTATTCTGCTGCGCGTTTTGAGATCAAAAGCGTTCACGGCGAGCAAGGCTCAACAGCAGTCCCAGCCGGCAGAGATGCTTTGATAAAGACAGTCCCCAACGGGAGCCCAAAGTCCAGCTCCGTCTCAAAATGGTGGAGCAGCGTTTAAAGGACAAGGACTAAGTGATCGGACCCTGAGCTGCAATTAAGGTGTTTTGAGTCACGAGCCGGTCGGGTTTTTGTCCAGAAGGCCATGCAACGACTCGGTCGCTGCAGGATTGGTGCTCGGACGCTGCCGGCAGCACGCAGTCCGACCAGTTTCACATCGACAAGACGATGCCATGGCGCGACACCTCTCCAGATTCATAAGACTCGCCCATCTTCATGAGATCCGCAAAGTTGGTACAAGATGTGTCTAGCGATGCACGTGCAAAACGTGAGAGGTGGCCGCGGCAGCTCGAAACTCCACTTCAAGGAGGGTCATCCCGGCCGTGCATTAAAGAGTTTTCACGCAGTGCAAACAGCAAACAGACGAGTTGGCTCCAGCCTACTTCCTCGTAGGAGCACTTCAGCCTTGAGCGAGCAGATCAGCCGGACTCCAGCAGCGGAAATGCGCAGGCGCACTTTTGAGCGCCTGCAAGTGGCTTTGCGCCCAACTGTTCAAGGAAGGTCATCCCGGCCATGCATTAAACAGTTTGGAATGCGCTGCGAACAGACTGAATGCCTCCGGCCAGGCTTATGTACTACTACTGAGGTTCCTCGGCGAAACTTCAAAGCTTGAGTGAGCAGAGCAGCGAGATTGCGCCAGTGAAAATACGCAGGCTCGCTTGAAAGCACCCTGCAAGCGGCTTCACGCCAACTGCCAGTGGCCTCGCTTGGGCCTTGGGTGTCTGAAATCATCGGTTCGATTCAATGACGGTTCTCGGCACGGGTCGAGACCACCTGCAGCAGGATTCGCTTTGGAAGCTGTTTGATGGTACCCAAACTTGGTGGTTCTTGTCACCAAACACCCATGTTGCAGAAAGGGCCCATGCGTCCTACTGGTGACACATGTACACGAGTCCCATGAAGCTGGAAAACAACAGCACCAATTTTGCTTCTTTTTTACCATATTGTTTTGCACTTGAGGCTTACATCTCAGACACCCGGATCCTAGCCAACTCAAGGGAAAAGCAGTTAGGGATGGTTCGGAAGGGCTTTGGGTGTCTTGGTATTGCTTTCCTGGTTCGAAGGGCTCCTTGGAGAGCTTCCCATGAAGGTTTGGGGGGCTTCGAGGAGAGCCTTGGGATCCTCAGAACTTTGCTCTGCGATGCACCCAAGGACTTGTAGATTGGTGGAAAGTCCCGGATGGAAATCTACAGGCAGTCCACGCTCCTTCCTCCACCGGAAAACATGTGAAGTTGAAGACATGCTTCGCCCAAGGCTTCCGACAGTGTGTGCCTTGACCGGCTCTCCCTTAACGGCCAGGCAGATCATGCACATCGGAGTCGAGCACCCACAAAAAAGGGCGCCACCGACCTGGGCTCGCTTCTTGGGCTTGGGGTCTAAAGAGGTTGGAGGGTTTGAATCTGACTCGGGTGCAGGGATTAAGGGTTTTAGGGCTCAGCATGAGACTCCCCGTACTACCCCCTCCCTACACTTCCTCCCCCCTTTCCGAAGCTTCTCTCGTACTTCTTCTTACAAACCTTCAATTTGGCGGGGGATCAGCACACTGCTTCCAGTTTGTTCTAAAACTGACGCTTTCCGCCATTCCACACTGACTCCATGCCCCTTCCTCCTCAAATATGCAGCAGCTAGACAAAACACGTTTCGCTCAAGGCTTTCTAAGAGGGCGCCTTGACCAGGCACGGATGTCATCCGGCTTCTCCTTGACATCCAGGCAGATGAGGCCCACATCTTGGCAATCAGAAGAGCCAAAGGGCACCACCGACCTGGGTTTGCTTCTTGGGCTTACAGTTTGCAGGGCCTGAAAGGCGGGGTTTCGGATTTGGCATCGTACCTCCGAACAACCTCCCAGAACTTCCCCTGCCCCCTCCCCCCCGCCCGCCCCACAAAGGCTCCCCCGTTCCTTCGCAATCCCATGAATGCTGGGAGGTTCAGCAGAGGGTGGTTTGTGAAACAAGGGGCTGCTTTTCGGGGTACTTTCTGCAAAGAGCCTGGTTCGGGCGGTATCTTGGAGTCGACTCCAAAACTAAAAGAAGAAGACCCCCCCAAGCGGTGTTGCGTGCAATGCTGCGAGTCTTCGTTTCACCCCAAGGCCAAGGCACTTTAAGGCAAACTCGGTGTCCTTGCCACTCTTTCTCCAGCTGTCTGCACCTCGGAAGCTTATACATCTTGCTACAACCATGATGGCTAACATTCCTTCTGTGATTCGCCCCTAGAATCCTTAAAGGCTCTCATTGAGCCAAGCCGCAAGGCTTTCGGACTTAACCCGGTGGCACCTCCGGAGGTGAGCGACAACGCGGGTCGATGACGGGATTCTCGTGAGGTCCCGCCTCCCCGTCGTCTGCAAAACATCTCCTCGGGGAGAATGGGCAGGTTCTGACTGGGGCTACAACTACGAGCCGGTACATTTGCTGCGGGTTCTTCTGATCGTTCTAACAAACGGCCCGTCATAACATTTTAAGACGAGAACCCCATAAGCCCTGCAAAGCCTACGTGCTCACAGCCTTGGGCCCCTGAAGCAACCCTTCCCACCGGAAATGAAAAGAACAGGTGTTTGGCGCCCCGTCTCCTGGGATCATTCTCACAAACCCGGGAGGCGCCAGCGGCAAGGGCTGTGTCTGGCACCATACGACACTCGAAAGGCCATTCTGCATGCTCGTGCGGCATACTTACTTCATAATTGGCGGTATATGCCAAGTGCTAAGTAGGCTTATACAGAATTGAAACCAATGTGGTGGGGCGATAGTATAGGCCTGCAAGTAACCTTAGGTCACGGCGTGGTCCCGAAGCTACTCCGTGATGGTGTTGAAGCTACCAGTTTCTGGCCTCTCTTCACGTCGTTCCTTCTAGAGCTTCCATGTCTCTCTTCCAGTTGACTCTTGATAGCTGGTAAAAATCACGGATGGATCCACAAGCACGGAAGTTGGAGGCTTCTTGGAAAAGCTTCATCGGATCTGCCTCCTACCTTGTCTAAGTGCCAGAAGCAGTTCCTCCCAAGCGCCGGAAGTCCGCCGGCATGAGTTGAGATCCCACTCGCATGGCAAGGCCTTTTGACAGGCACGGGGCACGTTCGCATTGAAAGTCTGTTGCTTGGGTGAGACATGAGACATGGTGAGACGTAATTGCAATAATAGCAGCCGGCTACTACCAACTGATTAAAGCCTAATCATGGAGGAGCATCTCCCAGAGGTTTGGGAGATTCTGTGGGGCGGGTTTGTTCGGAGCCCTTGCACGATGCGAAGCGAGCCGGGAGACCGCATCCCCGAGGGAAAAGGAAATGTCCCACCCACACCCCGAATTGTCGGGGCTGCGGTCTCCCCTTGTGTTTTTTGTTTCAACAGCTTCGGGCTCCGAAGCCAAACCCACCCTGCCAGGCCCACCGTGGCCTCTGCGGGGGCCTCTTCTTGGATCAAGGCTACGCGAATCGGATCTTTATACAGGCTGCTTCTCGAAAAACGACAACAGCGTCTGGCGTGCAAGAAAAGCCTAAACCTGCAAACCCTAAACACCCTACGCCTACGTATAATTTCAAGCCTAAAGACCCTATAAAACACAACTTTGTGGGAGGCCCTTTCTGGAGCTGAGGCCTCAGGGTGGTCTTTGGCCTCTCTTCGGAGGGCCTTAAGGATCAAATTTGCGAGGGCTGTGGGCATTCGCCGTGTCTTGGCTTAATATTGGTTCTATAGGTTTATCCTTATAAAACCCTCTGAAGAAAACTCCTGAAGTACGATACTCTTCAGCACAGAAGATCCTTTCTATAGATTGTTCCACACCAGGACCTTTGGCAATCTTGGAAAGCCCACGAAGCTCCTAGCGCTGCGGACGGAGCTTCAGATCTGTCATGGTGCGATCCCGGAAGGCAGCGGCGACTGCCTACATCTTCGAGAACATGTGGCATGGGGAAAATCCAGCCATACCTATATATCAGACCGCTTTCGTAAAGTCCTGAAGGGGCGTTCTGGCTTAGATGCGGGTGCGTGGATCGCGGTTTCTACCATGATGGGCGCAGATCGAAGCTGTAAGAATGCAAAGAGTGGTGCTGTCAATACAACATTCGATATATTGCAATCGTCTTCAGACTACTCGCCATCGCTATTCATCTGGACGGCTAATACTGCCAAACATCACCTTGATATTGGGAACGAGAAGGAATGAGAAGGAGAATGCTAACTGTCTCTGGACATGCATCTGGGCCAGCAACCTGGGTCTGGGTGTTTCAGCAGAAGCTGTTCTAGATCATCGCCCCGGCTTGGATTCCATGATACAATATATACGAGCCCAAGAAGAGCACGTTGTTTAGAACAAGCCCGGCAAGGAAGCTGCAAAGCTGCTGGAGGGCTGTCTAGGAGTCTACAGTAAACAACAAGCTGAAGGGGTTGACAGGGAATATCATGGAATGGGCCCTCTTCCCGAACCCCAGCTTTCCTGACCTCCACGCCGGTGTCGCTGAGGGAATTCTTGTGGAGCCAGAGCTCCGTGAGCGCGTTGTTGTCACGCAGGGCATGGACCAATGCCTCCAGCGTGACAGTCGCTGCGGAAGCGCAGGAGGAGTATTGGAATTGCGACAGTACTTCAGTGGACAAGATCTTACATTTTCGATCCTTAAGGGGGGCCAACCCCGCACTTGTGACCATGAAATCTTCTCACTTGTGATAATCTACATACAGAGGAAAGGAGGTTGAAAGTTCATGGCCGTAAGAAACTATATGTATTGCAAGTTCTATATGCTTGGCGCAGGACGAGTATTGGAATTGTGAAAGTACTTCAATGGGCAAGATCTGATATTTTTGATCCTTAAGGGGGTTGTCGCTGCGAAGCAAGGGTATTGCAGACAGCTTAGGGGTTGTCGGACAAGAAAAAGTATTGCAGATATCTTGGTGTTCTAATTGTGGATCTCTTACGGGGTTGCCGGTGCTGCAATCAACAGCATATCCTGAAGCCGAGTGTGGTGTAGGTATGTGAATGCAGCTTGCAGCTATCTCAAGTGTTTCCAGTCACGAAAACAAACGCACTGTGGCGAGTTCCCTCCACCACCGAGAACAGCAGCCAGCCACCGAAGCCCATCTTCATGAAATGGGAGAAAAGGTGACCTTCTTGAAAAGCAGGTTTATGGGCCACTTCAGCGTGTTTCAGACATAGTGGCGGCATGTGGCAGACCTTTCGGACATTGAAGGTTCCATGTCCCGGGTATCGCTGGTGCCGCGGCGAGACCATAATGTTTCTAGAATCCCCCGTGAGCTAAATGGCGGATCGTTTGATATTGTTTGCACGTTGCTGTGCGGAGGTGGACGAGTCTGCGGGCTTGCGCTTGCAAAACAATCAGGCTCTCTTAGCATGAGGTGATTGGACTGCAGCATCTCGAATTTGCGGTGCAGCGCATGGCTCCATCTGCCAGAATAGGATTCCTCACGTGCTGGCGCTGACTCTCAGCATCTGAGAGTTTGACAAGGCCTCCGAAGTTTGTAGAACAAACTTGTACGCCGTTCTTTCTGGGAGATGAGCCTAGACCTCCTCCTGAAACCATTAGCCCCATTGAGAAGCCGCCACAACTGAGACGGAGGATGAGCATGGCTGGTGCCGTGGTGGGTGCCTGAGCGCGTCGGAGTTCAGGGGCCCTGGGCTTGGTAAGTTTCCTGGGCCCGGCTGCCGGGCTCAGAAACCAAAAGTCGTCAAAAGACGAAAACAGAATGACAACGCAACACCACGAGCATGAATGGGGGGCGGGCGGAACAGTGCACCACTACAGGAAGGACACGGACCATGGAGCAACCTGCCTCCACCATCCCTGACGAGGGGAAACGATTTAGATACGTCTTGGAGGCCAGCAGCGTTTTCAAGAGTTGCCCTTGGGTCTTTGAAAAGGGAGTGAAGCAATTTCTTGTCGTTAAGATCTGTCTACAGGGCACAGACCTAAGCCCAGGCTTCCCAACCCCCTCCTGCGCTGCTTTTGCCAACAGAAAGCACGGCCCTCCTCTCCCCGACTCTCGCACCCTGGGTCCTGCCAACTCTTGAAGCCTCTAACCCCATTCTTGGAAACTGCCAGAACTGAGATGTGCAGCTGGAAGGTGCTCGGCATCGGTTTCGTGCTGGAGCGCATCATGAGTTTCGTTAGGACTGGCATGGGCTTGACGGTGTGAGTTCGGGCACTGGGCTTGGCCTATCTTGCCTCGGCTCAGAAGACCGAAATCACCAAGCGACAAAAGCACAACATCAAATTGAGACCAAGCCCCGCCTAGATTCCATTTGGAAGATCCGAGGTCTGTATCGGTGCTACTTAACTTCAGTACTCCAGTACTGTCTATGCGGAAAGCTGATATCTACCTCTACAGCCGGCAGGGCTTCACAGAACGCGCTCCCTTCAGCAGCCTTCTGTGACATCGCACAGCGGCCCAGCCTGGGCTCCAGAGTCTCCGATGGCGTTATCCGACAGCTGCAGCTCCTTCGACGGGAGGAGACTGTAGGAATTGCGAACTTGCGGCATGAAAGCTCAGAAAAGTCGCGGCCGCAGGGCGATTTTGAGGTTTGCTGCTACCCTGAGAAGGCTTCAGAGCTTTAGGGTGATTCAGATCGAGGCTTCTGGGCAGATATCCAGAGAACTGCACCGCCTTGCGTTGTTTCATGAAGTCAACACACGTGATGGCTGTGCACAAGCTGCCATCCTTGCGAGACCCCATGCATTGCAACGCGTGCATCCGTCGGTAAGTGCACGAGCTTGCCACGTCAAGCTTCAAACCAAGCAGGCTTGGCACTTGAAATCGGATACCCGGATACTTGGATCCATGGATTGATATGGCACACTACAATTTTGTGCTGCCCTCCGCGTTTTCGGCACTCCGCCCCCTTCCTGTCCCACCCTAAACGCAATCAAAACCAAGGGTGGCTTCGGGGAAGTGCCTCAACTGGAAGGTCCTTATTGGACCCTCAGCCCTAAAGACCCTGAACATCCCCAAGCCCGAAACCGATGAGGATTGCGAAAGAGGCTCCCAGATCCCTTCAAACTTTGGGGGGGAGATTCCTTCAACTCGCGGCTTAAGGTTCAGGGCGTTAATAGGCTTTAGGAGGCTGAGGGATCCTACTGTGATTAAAGGACTATTCCTTGCGAGGTTTAGGGCTGCCCTCCACATTTGATCAGTAAAACCCTAAAATAATGACCACGTCCGCTTGCTGCTCGCAAGCAGAGCTCCCCCGGCGACCTTTAAATTACAAACTTTCCGGCGGAGACTGGCGACTGGCGTCCTCGATGTTCGGGAGAGCTTTCAGCGCGTCTCCCAGGGCCTCTGCACACGAGGAAGCTTGGGGAGACGAGGCCCAAGCTAAGCAAAACTTGTGCCAAGCGGGTCTTGGAAGTTGGGAGGGCCATGTCCCGGACTTTGACTCGTCACAGTCCGAGGCTCTCAGAAAAACTCTGCGTGGAAGGCTTTTTTTGCCCACTTGCGACGGAACAGGCAGTGCACCTGCACCGAACAAATCCCAACTTGATCAACTCCAGGCCTGCGCCCCCGCATCGCCGAAGCCGTTGTTGCCCAGGCTTAGTTCTCGTAGGTCCTTGTGGCCTGCGAGGCCCTCGGCGATGGCCTGCATGGGGACAGGCCACGGGCAGAAGCACGCCTTCGGCCCTCATTCTGGCCATCACGTCGCCGGATGTCTGAAAACATCTTCAGGGCACCGACTCGACAACTTTCCCCCTCCCGAGGCCTGAAGGCCGCTGTCGCCGATGCGATTGCCGAAGAGGTACAGCAGCCGCAGCGAGGAGTGGCCACCCAGACCAGCTCCAAGGGCCTGCGCAGACCACCGAACGTACAGGACTCTTTGTTTTCATTTGGAAACGGTGCAGATATCATGGGCTGGCCGGGCAAGTACCCTTATCCGGGGATTCTATAGGATAGCCAAGTTCTGTTTCCTAGGCTTGGCGGCACGTCGTTGTAGAACCCTCCCAGAAAGTGGGAAAGTCCTTGCTGAAACCCAAGGCATATCCTCCTCGCAGGGTCTCCCCCCGTGCCTTGGACACTTAACGTCTATTCTGCGCGTGCTCTTTGTTTTCGCAAACCTCTCTGGGATTGGGTTCTCGTTTGGCGCTTCAACGCGGAAGGCGTTCTATCGGATCGCATTCTGGCGAAAGAGGCCACGAAGTGGAGACGGTCAACGGAGGACGGTGGGATGACGGAATGAATTTTGACGGGAGGCCACGGAGACGACACGGTCAAGGGAGGGGGGTCGGAACATTTTGCTGGGAGAGGGGCGTGGCGGACCATGCATGGATGGGGGGGAGCGCGGACGGGGAGCATTCGGTCGATGGGCAGGAGAGTCACACACGGACAAGACATGACAAGACGATGGGGTAGTCACCTAACGCCCTCCCCCCCCGCCCTCCGCGCCCTCCGCCTCCGCGCCCTCCGCGCCCTCTGCGCCCTCCGCGCCCTCCGCGCCCTCCGCGCCCTCTGCGCCCTCCGCGCCCTCCGCGCCCTCCGCGCCCTCCGCGCCCTCCACGCCCTCCGCGCGCTCCGCGCCCTCCGCGCCCTCCGCGCCCTCCGCGCAATCCCCGCCCTCCGCGCCCGCGCCTTCCGCACCTCCGCACCCCGCCTCCGCGATCCGCGCCCTCCGCGTTCCGCGTCCTGTGCGCCCTCCGCGCCTCCGCGCCCTCCGCGGTGCATTACGTCAATTTCTGCTATTCTGCGGGTGTTTCCTTTGTAAAGTATTTGTTTACAAGCCACGCACGTGCAGCATAGCCTTTAAGTGTCCATCTTACGGTCTCCCCCCCCCTCCCCCCCTCCCCCCCTCCTCCGCGGGCTCGCGCATGCAGGCCAACAAAGGGGCGTAGAGCACCGACATTTTTCTATTCGCATAATATACATACAGAGGAAAGGGGGTTGAAAGTTCACGCCGTAAGAAACTATATGTATTGCAAGTTATGCTTGGCGCAGGACGAGTATTGGAATTGTGAAAGTACTTCAGTGGACAAGATCTTATATTTTCGATCCTTAAGGGGGTTGTCGGTGAAGCAAGGGTGTGGCAGATAGCCTCGCCTCCTAGGGGGTTGTCGGACAAGAAAGGGTATTGCAGATATCTTGGTGTTCTAATTGTCGATCTCTCACGGGGTTGCCGGTGCTGCAATCAACAGCATATCCGGGAGCCGAGTGTGGTGTAGGTATGTGAATGCGGCTTGCAGCTATCTCAAGTCTTTCAAGATGCAGTCACGTCAAAAACAAACGCACTTTGGCGAGTCCCCCCCACCCCAAGAACGGCAGCCAGCCACCGAAGCCCATCTTCATCAAATGGGAGAGGAGTGAAGAAGAGGTGACCTTGAAAAGCAGGTTTATGGGCCACTTCAGGGAATTGCAGTCATAGTCGCGGCATGTGGCAAACATTTCGGACATTGAAGGTTCCATGTTTCGGGTATCGCTGGTGCCGCGGCGAGACCATAATGTTTCTATAATCTCCCGTGAGCAAAGTGGCGGATCGTTTCATATCTTTTGCACGTTGCTGTGTGGCAGTGGACGAGTCTTCGCGCTTGCGCTTGCAAAACAATCCTGATGAAGGGTCTTTTACAGAACTGTCTGGCTGCCAACGCCTCAGCAAGTTCTCCTGCGAGCCTGCATGATTCGTTGCAAGGCTTTCCCCCGCCTCCTCTGCACCATCAAAAATGACACTCAGGAGCCCCCAGACATGAGTTTGTCGCCCATGTGGCGCTGTCTCCCGAGGACAAAAACTCGCTTGAGCACTGACTAGCGCCAGCCCTTTGGATGTTTCAGGCGCTCTGAGCATGAGGTGATTGTCGTGAGAATGTCGAAAGTGCGGCTTGCAACATTTTCGAATTTGCAGTGTGCTTGGGTCCATCTGCCAACAAAGATTTTCTTCACGTATTGGTGCTGACTCACGATGACAGGTCTGTCCTGTGCGTTTTGCTGCTTAGCACTGGCTGGTGCCGCGGAGGGTGCTTGAGCGCGTCGGATTTCGGGGGCCCTGGGCTTGGGCTCAGAAACCAAAAGATACCAAAGTCGCCAAAAGACGACAACACAATGACAACGCAACACCACGAGCATAAATGGGGTGGGGGGACGAACAGTGCACCAATACAGGAAGTGCACGGACCATGGAGCAACCTGCCATACGATTTAGAGACGTCTTGGGGGCCAGCAGCGTTTTCAAGTTGTACATTACTTGGGTCATTGAAAAGGGAGTGAAGCGGTCTCCCCGACTCTCTGACCTTGGGGCCTGCCAACTCTTGAAGCCCCTAACCCCATTTGGAAATTGCCAGAACTGAGATGTCTGGCTGGAAGGTGCTCGGCATCGGTTTCGTGCTGGAGCGCATCATGAGTTTCGTTAGGACTGGCGTAGGCTTGACAGTGTAGGTGTTCAAACACTGGGCTTGGTCTATCTTGCCTCGGCTCAAACAAAAGCACAACATCAAATGAGACCAAGTCCCCCGCCAGATTCGATTTGGAAGATCCGAGGTCTGTATCAATGCTACTTAACTTCAGTACTGTCTATGCGGAAAGCTGATGTCCGCCTCTACAGCCCGCAGGGCTTCACAAAACGGGCTCGCTTAAGAAGTCTTCTGTGATATATTTCCACAGCGGCCCAGCCTGGGCTCCAGCGTCTCCGATAGCGTTCTCGGCCAAGCTCAGCTCCTTCGCCGGTTTGGGCTCGTAGGAATGCGGACTTGCGGCATGCAAGCTCAGAGAAGAGGCGGCCGCACGGCGATTTTGAGGCTTGCTGCTACCCTGGCTTCAGCTTTGAGGCAGATTCAGATCGAGGCTTCGGGGCAGATATCTCGCAATGCACCGCCTTGAGTTTTTTTAATGAAGTCAACAGACGTGATGACTATGCACAAGCTATGCCGCCATATCCTTCCAAGATGCCTTGCAAGCTGACCGACCGCGGTTAAAAACTATCGTTGTCGTTGTGATACACCATGCTTTGCACTGGAAGCTCCTTATGGGGCCCTCTTAGCCAGAAACCCTAACCATCCCGAAGCCCTAGGCAGCCCATGAACCCACAGCTTCGACAGGCTCCAAGATCCCTTTCAAACTAGGGTTCAGGGCTTTATAGGGTTTGGAGGAATCCTACAACGATTTAAGGAATTTTCCTTGCTTAATTGTTTTTGAACTACCCTTCACATTTGATCAGTCAAACCCGAATAGCATGCTCAAGCAGAGCTCCCCGGCGACCTTTACAAACTGGGACTGGCAACTGGCGTCCTCGATGTTCGGGAGAGCTTTCAGTGCGTCTCCCAGGGCCTCCACACACAAGGCAGCTTAGGGAGAGCGAGGCCCAAGCTAAGGGAAAACTTGCGCCAAACGGGTCTTGGAAGTTGGGAGGGCCATGTCCCGACTTTGACTTGTCACGGTCCGAGGCTCTCAGGAGGACTCCGGACTCCGCATGAAAAGGCTATTTTTTTGCCCACTTGAAACGGAACAGGCAGTGCGCCTGCACCAAGGAAATCCCAACTTGATCAACTCCAGGCCTGCGTCCCCACATCGCCGAAGCCGTTGTTGCTCAGGCTGAGGTCCCGCAGGCCCTTGTGGTCTGCGAGGCCCTCGGCAATGGCCTGCGCAAACTTGCCGTCACACAGCCGGATGTCCAAAACTTTCCCCGTCCCAAGGCCTGGAGGCCGCTGTCACCGATGCGATTGCCGAACAGCCACAGCAGCCGCAGCGAGGAGTGGCCACCCAGACCAGCTCCAAGGGCCTGCGCAGACGACCGAATCTATGGACTCCTTGTCTTTTGGAAACGGTGCAGATATCATGGGCTGGCCGGGCAAGTACCCTTATCCGGGGATTCTGTAGGATAGCCAAGTTCTATTTCCTAGGCTTGGCGGCACGTAGTTGTAGAACCCTCCCACAAAGTGGGAAAGTCCTTGCTGAAACCCAAGGCATGTCCTCTTAAGGGTGGCTTCAGGGAGGTGCCTCAACTGGAAGCTCCTTACTGGACCCACTTAGCCAGAAACCCTAAACATCCCGAAGCCTTAAACTGCTGAGGAAGCGCGGCTAGGCAGCCCATGAACCCACAGCTTCGACAGGGGCTCCAAGATCCCTTTCAAACTTCGGGGGAAGATTCCTTCAACTCGCGGTTTAGGGTTCAGGGCTTTTGCCGTCGCTAAAGAATGCCGCTCCCAAGCAGAGCTCTCCGGCCACTTTACGAACCCTAGCGGAGACTGGCAACTGGCGTCCTCGATGTTCGGGAGAGCTTTCAGCGCGTCTCCCAGGGCCTCTGCACACGAGGAAGCTTGGGGAGAGCGAGGCCCAGGCTAAGAAAAACTTGCGCCAAACGGGTCTTGGAAGTTGGGAGGGCGAGGTCCCGGACTTTGACTCGTCACAGTCCGAGGCTCTCAGGAGGACCCCGCATAAAATGTTTTTTGTACACGCTTAAGACGGAACAGGCAGTGCACCTGCACCGAAAACACGAAAACTAATCCCAACTTGATCAACTCCAGGCCTGCGCCCCCACATCGCCGAAGCCGTTGTTGCTCAGGCTGAGTTCTCGTAGGCCCTTGCGGTCTGCCAGGCCCTCGGCGATGGCCTGCATGGGGACAGGCCACGGGGAGAAGCACGCCTTCAGCCCTCAAACTTGCCATGACGCAGCCGGATGTCTAAAAATATCTTTATAGGGCCTATACAGTCCCGACTGCAAAACTTTCCCCCACTCCCGAGCCTGGAGGCCGCTGTCGCCGATGCGATTGCCGAAGAGAGACAGCGCCCGCAGCGAGGAGTGGCCGCCCAGACCAGCCCCAAGGGCCTGCGCAGGCGACCGAAAGCAGAGCGGCAGGCCCCCCTAGCAAGTACCTTTATCACTGGGTTCTGGGCTATGTAGTTGTAGACCCCCCCGCCCCCGCCCAAGGAAAACGGGAAGCCCTTGCTGCAGGGCCAAGGCAAATCCTAGGTCTCCCGCAGACGACCGAAGGTATGGACTCTTTGGTTTCGTTTGGAAACGGTGTGGGCATCATGGGCTGGCCGCCTTGACAAGTATCCTTCTCAGGGGATTCTATAGGATAGCCAAGTTCTGTTTCTTAGGGTTGGCGGCACGTAGTTGTAGAACCCATTAGAACCCCCACAAAGTGGGAAAGTCCTTGCTGAAACCCAAGGCAAATTTCTCTCCGCAGGGTCTCCCGCACCCGACCCCCCCTCCCCCGCGGGCTCGCGCATGCAGGCCAACAAAGGGGCGTAGAGTACCGACATCTTTCTAGTCGCATAATATACATACAGAGGAAAGGAGGTTGAAAGTTCATGGCCGTAAGAAACTATATGTATTGCAAGTTATGCTTGGCGCAGGACGAGTATTGGAATTGCGAAAGTACTTCAATGGGCAAGATATGATATTTGTTAATCCTTAAGGGGGTTGTCGGTGGAAAGCAAGGGTATTGCAGATAGCTTCGCCTCTTCGGGGGTTGTCGGAGAAGAAAGGGTATTGCAGATACCTTGGTGTTCTAATTGTGGATCTCTTACGGGGTTGCCGGTGCTGCAATCAACAGCATATCCTGAAGCCGAGTGCGGTGTAGGTATGTGAATGTAGCTAGCAGCTATCTCAAGTAATTTGGCGAGCCCCCCACCACAAGAACGGCAGCCAGCCACCGAAGCCCATCTTCATCAAGCGTGAGACAAGGTGACCTTCTGAAAAGCAGGGTTAGGGGCCACTTCAGCATGTTTCAGACATAACTAGTCGCGGCATGTGGCAGACATTTCGGACATTGAAGGTTCCATGTCCCGCGTATCGCTGGTGCCACGGCGCTACCAGAATATTCTTGGAATCTCCCATGGGCAAAATGGCGGCTTGCAAGCCTGATGAGGGGTCGTTTACAGAACTGTCAAACTGCCAGCGCTTCAACAGTTTGTTCTGCGAGCCTGCATGATGTTCGCTGCAAGCTTCCCCCGCCCCCTCTGCACCATCAAAAATGACACTCAGGATCCCCCAGGCATCATTTTGTCGCTCATGCGGCGCTGGCTCCGGAGGACAAAAAAACTCGCTTGAGCACTGACTAACGGCAGCCCTTTGGATGTTTCAGGCGCTCTTCGCATGAGGTGATTGGCCTGAATGTCGAAAGTGCGGCTTGCAGCATTTCGAGTTTGCAGTGTGCCTAGGTCCATCTGCCAAAATATTTTTTTCCACGTATTGGTGCTGACTCACGATGACAGGTCCGTCCTGTGCGTTTTGCTGCTTCGTAATGGTGCCTTGGTTGGCGCTTGAGTCGGATTTCGGGGATGCCGGGCTTGGCTTATCCTCGCCCGGCTGCCGAGCTCAGAACGCGAAAGTCGCCAAAAGACAAAACACAATGACAACACAACACTACGAGCATAAATGGGGCGGGGGACGAACAGTGCATCACTACAGGAAGTGCGCGGACCATGGAGCAACCTGCCTCCACCATCCCTGACAAAGGATAGACAAGGGGGTGAAGTGGTGTCGTGTCCTTTTCGCTGCAAGGTTCATGCCGTAAGATCTGTCTAAACGGCACAGACCTAAGCCCATGCTTCTCTGCATCCCACAGAAGCACTCCCCTGCCCTGCGCTGCTTAACCAACAGAAAGCACAGCCCTCCGCCCCGACTCTCGGACCCTGGGGCCTGCCAACTCTTGAAGCCTCTAACGCCATTTAGAAACTGCCAGAACTGAGATGTCTGGCTGGAAGGTGTGAGAAGCGGGGTATTGCAAATATCTTGGTGTTCTAATGTTCGAGTCTTTGGGGGCTGCCGGTGCTGCAATCAATAGCGTATCCTGAAGCCAAGCGTGGTGTAGGCATGTCAACGCAGCTTGCAGCCATTGCAACGACTCAAGCAATCCCAGATGGAGTCACGTCGAAAACCAAGCACTTTGGGGTGGTAACCCCGGACCGCGAGACACTGTGAAACAAGATGAGGCCCTTGTAACCCCCAAGAAAAAGACCTTGAAAGCACGTTCTTTAGAGCACCCCTCCTCGCCGCCCCCCGCCCCCCGCCCCCCCCACCCGAGGGCTCTTTCATGGACCCTTGATGCACGTCTCATCAAGAACTGACACTCAGGATCCTGCGGGCATCATAGGCGGAACCAGATCTCGAGGACATAAAGTCGCTTGAGTACTGACCAACGTACTTTGGATGTTGCATGCATTCTTGGCACGAAGTGATCGGCCTGAATATCGAAGTTCCTGCTGAGGTTTTTGGCACTTGCGGTTTGGTTTGCTGACTCCATCTGCCAGAGAAGGATTCCTCACCTGCTAGTGCTGGCCTATGGGCATTTGTGATCAACATTTTGGGAGTTCCAACTTTTATGGAGCAACCGTTGCGCAACATTTACTAGATTAAGGTTTTGCTCTGGCACTTCCAGCAGATGGATGGAGGCTCGTCTCTGCAAGCTTGGCCAGTGGCCCTGATGCCTTCCTGCACGGCTCGAGCCTTTAAAGGAGGTTATGGCCTGATTGGCTAGATTTGGCCGTCCACATGCCCGCTCGTGAGGACGACCTGGGCTGCTGGTCTTTCATTTTCTCGTGTCGCAGCCTCCTTGCTGAAAATCCATGCCGATACCCTACTGCAACCTCGCCGCAGACCATGGATACCCACAGGCATCCACAGGCCACCGCAACAAAAATCACTTTTCAAAATGCTTGAAGGTGCCCGGCGCAGCTTTTGCCAGCGCTCCCTACGAGCTGCCATCCTTTGAAGTCTATAGACCTGTTCCTCAGCCGCTAGCCCCATTGAGAAGCCGCCAAAACTGAGATGGATAACCAGCATGAAACTTTCCTCCGGTGCGTTTTGCTGTTTAGTACTGGGCGGTGCTTGAGTGCGCCGTAGTTGGGCCCTGGGTTTGCTGCCGGGCTTAGAAAGCAAAATCACCGAAAGACACAAACACAATAATGGTGCACCGCTACAGGAAGTGCACGGACCACGGAGCAACCTGCCTCATCCCTGAGAGTCTAGATGCAACTTGTCGAGTTTTCGGCATGAAGCAGTGTCTTGTCTCAGTCGTTTACATTGATTCCGAGTTTTTGCAAGACTCTGCAATTTCTTAGTTTCATCACTGCCTGTGCGGGAAATTTGTATGCTGTACGCACATTGCAGCCGACAAAGTAGCTCTCCGGCAAAGCAGAATATCCCATCAGCGCATTCAGCGCACATAACACGCCAGACGTGTAATCCATAGCTGGCGCTCTCTCCACCAAACCCAGGCAACAACAGCTTCCCTTGACTCACCAGACGCACAGTACAGTGTCCGCGGCGTTGAAGGAAGCAACTCATTTTGGCGCCGGGATGTCGTGCACATGGACACGCTGCGGCCGCACGTAAACAAAATGAGCGCTGGAACATGGCGCCTGCCTCTCGGGGCTTCACACTGGAAACCACCCCTCCCTAACCCGAAACCCCGTCAGATGACACACAAGCCCCAGTGCGCCCTCGAATGTGCGCCCTCGAATGTGTAAACGCCGTCTCTTTAAAAGTCAGATCTCTGCTATATGTCTGCCATTGCAGCCCTCCTGTGCGATCACAGCTAACCACAGGCATCCGCATGCTACCTCAACAAAAACATCGACAAGAGCCTCCTGAACACGTTCTGTGCACTTCCTCCTTGCCAAGCACCCGCTCCCCCCCCGGGCCTTTCTCTTAACAAGAAATGAAAATACGATCTTCGTTTCAAGGCTCAGCCCCCCCAATTTGGCAATGATTGCCAGCCAAAATGCCCATTACCCTTTATAGAGCCTGAGTCCTGAATCCGGCTGCTCGGAAGATACTCGCACGCTCAATGATGGTATGGTTTTGACGGCTCGTGCCTTTATCGATGCCGCCATTCGGGAACAGAAGCCACGCAGTCTACAAAATGTCGTACGCCCCACTTCGCCCCCTAACAAGGCACGCCCTCCCGAATGGCAGAAGAACCCGCGCCAGCCGTCTGAAATGCTGGACTTCAAAGCTTCCGGAGTGGGTGTGACAGGGCTTGGGCCTTCCTGCTTTTTTGTGGATTTGTTCATACCCCGCCAGTGGTGGACTACACCGCACCAGGCTCTCGTGTTGGAACCCGGCTCCCCTCAACAAGAAGTGCCACCAAAATCGGGGAGGACTCTGCGGAGAATCGGAGAACCTGTCCCCACTTTCGAGAGGCGGCCACACTTTCGGGAGAGGCAGAGCAGGCCCCCACCTTCGCCTCTGTGTCTCTTAAGCCGGCGCGCGTCAGCCTCAGCTCCCGCAGGCAGCTGCAGGGCAGCGCCCGCACCAGGGCCTGGCGCCAGGAGAACAAAAAAGGAAAGCTGTATATAGTGCTTATTCGGGGTTTATAGGCTTTAGAAAAAGCTTTGTAGGATTTGTAGGGCCGTTATGCGGTTTTTCTTTTAGAAAAGAACAGATAGGCTCGGGACATGCTGTGTAGGGGGCACGCGCTCTCCTGCCTGGAAGGCCTTGCCGGCCAGCTCGCTGCCGTCCACATACAGCTCCTCTAGCCGCTCGTAGTGCGGCAGCGCCCGGGCCAGCACCTGGACCTGGGCTTCGGGCAGGTCCCCCAGAAACAGCCCCGTGGCCTCGGCCGCCTTCTCCCGGAAGACCTTGGCCTGGAGCTGCAGCACGGGCTCCAGGTCCGCGCGGTGCGTGAACTTCAGGGTCCCCCTCTCCGCTTGGGCGCGGAACTCCGCGGGCGCCATGGGCGCCTCTGAGTTTCGGCCTTCGCGGAAGGGAATCCTGATGCTCTTCCAGGGGGCTTCCCGTGCCAGTGACCACTGGATCTCCGCCCTGCACCACCCGCGCTGCAGGTACGGCGTGCTGTTCCGGTGCAGCTGCCGGCAGGGCGGGCTGCAGCCGAAGTGGCATCCCGGGCCGCAGCTGCCCTGGTCGTCCGTGTCGCGCAGTTCGGCCAGCGCCACATCCGTCACGGCGTTGTGGGGGAGGTAGAAGACCTTAGCGGTCCCAGACAGCTCGGGCCCGGGCCGGTCGTGGAGACCGGGCGTCAGGTCCTCGATCCTTAGTGTCCAGCTCGTGTCATGCGCGTAGAGGAGGTGCATGTGGGCCATGCCCTTCGCGAAGTAGACGTCCTGACGGAAGCGTGAATCTCTGGTCTCTGGGTCCCGAAAACTTCCGACGCGCAGTCAAAGGCCGTTGCCTTCAAGAGTGTACAAGCCCTCGCGTACCGAAGCCCCCGTCACGAGAAAGCAACACAGAAAACGAGAGAAAACAGATATAGAATATCGAGCAGCCATATTCTACACTCGCAGCCAGTTCAAGTCCATCCTGCTCTTCAGTTCTTGGGAACTGGTACAGGGACATGTAATCCACAAAGATCGCAGCCTGGCACGTGTCCGCATCTGGCGCTGCACTTTGCTCACATGCGTCTAGCCATGATCTTATAGGCTTATTAGGGGTGTGGAGGCAGCAGGCAGCAAGCTGCTCTCAGCTGGGCTGTTTGAAAGAGCAGCTTTTGGGGAGCCTCAGGGCATCTCAGGGGTTTTCTGGTGCAGGCGAACATGGTCCTGGAACTTCCCTGCAGCTTTTGCAAAAGGTCGACATGCAAAGTACCCTATAGCTTGAAACAAAGTCAGTGTTTGCGAGGCAGTGCCCAGTGGCGCCTCCCAGTCCTTGGCGAGGTTGTGGGCCGGGGCGATCTTCTGCAGGATCTCCGCGAAGGTGTCCAGTGCTTCTACTAACACTCGCAGCCTCGGCAGCGGAAGTGACAAAGGAAAAGAAGCTCGTCTTTGCTTTGAACATCAGAAATCAGCCAAATGGACGGCAGACGGCACACAGTTTATGGTTTACAGCTTGCGGGGAGAGCCGGAGAACCTGAGCCGCTGAGCTGGGGCCCCTGCTGGAACCTGGCCACGTCCGGGATCTCGCGGCTTTCCCACGAGTGTGAAAGTGCCATTACGGAGAAACGGTGGGTACCGCCCACCTGGCCGCCGGGCAGTTTCGCCTCCAGCTCCTCCTGCGTCAGCAGGGCCGGGCGGCCGTCCTTGGTGCGCATCCCCTCGGCTTCCTGGCGCCGGGGCATCGTGCGGCCCTCTGCCAGGAGCTCCCGGAGGAAGTCGGCGCGGACGAGCCGCACCTTGGCATCCCGGCAGTACGCCAGCAGGCCCTTCTCGTCCCGAAGGCTGTAGACGGCTACCTGCACAGGCAACGCGAGCTTGCCAAGCTTGGGGTACTCAAAGTCTCAAAGTAGCGAGCGCGTGACGTGAAGCGATGTTGCGATGATCTCTGGAGACTTGGTTTTTGGGCATCCATTCACGACGTGACTGAGCTTCACGCCCAGCATGAACACGAACACTTGCTGCTAGAAGCTATCACAATTTGGTCGGAGCGACTCTCCCAGACAAGTAGACGGCGTACAGTAGCAGCTTGAAGGGGGGGCGTCTGCGAAGTAACCCTCAAGAGAAGCCGCGTGGCCTCGGCTCTGGACTCCGGCTCCTATGACGCTCTCAAAAGCTGCTCTCTGCAACCCACTTGCTGCGCACACATCCCCGATACTGCGCCGCAGCCACTATAAAACCAGAACCGCCCTTCGTCCTCCTTGGCGGGCTCGGAGGGCTCTGCGGCTTCCTCGGCGATAAAACGTAGAACCGGGTCCTGCGCCAAATTGCTCACACAGGACCCAGGGAAGCCCTGACTATGAACTCTCCAACGTGCCCAGCATCTGCAAACCCTGGCGCACATCGCATGTGTTCCTTGGCCTGGTGTCCGGAGCCAGAGTCAGGGGGAAATGCAGCCAAAGTTTGCTGCTGTCATTCTGAGGTTGAAGGCTCAACAAAACATAGCCTTTCAATCTGTGCTTGCGACCAGAATCCCACCAAACTGTTGGTGTATGTGAGAACAGCCCTCAGAAGGCCGAGGCGAGGCGATGGCTTTGTTTTTGGGGAAAATGCTATTTGCTGGGCCTGTTGTCGCTTTTTGGAGGCCCATAAACCTATGAAGCCTATAAACCCTATCATGTTGCCTAACATCTTCCCTTCGTATACCCTCAATATTCCCTGCAAAACCCCATAGTCCCTAAAACCCCTAAATGCACCTAAGAGCCCGAAACCACCGAACCTCAAGCGCCGCAAGTTCGCACTGGACATGCTTCCACTGGCCTGACCCCCGGATCTCCAGAAGAAAGCGCCAATGCCAGGACAGCGGCAACCTAGGAACATATTATCGAGAGGGCTCACGGTGGTTGAGGTGGTTGAGGGAGGCCCTGACGCGTATTCCTGCATTTCCTGTGCACGCATCACTCTTGACAAAACCCAATACTGTAAGTATGTCAGCCTCAAAAACATATGCTAGAGACATAACCTTTAAAAGCCCAAGACAGGCCTAATGGTCACAACCCCCACCCTAAACCCTAAACCCTCAACCCTAAACCCTCAACCCTAAACTCTAAACCCTGAACCCTCAACCCTCAACCCTCAACCCTCAAACCCAGCAAAATCACAACTCCCCTTCGCCGGGTTCAGTGTTTGTGAGACTTCGGCCTAAACCCTGAAGCCCTTCGGCCCTGAAACCCTAAAGCAATCCTCAAGCCCGAAACGCACAGCCCCCAAAAACCCTAAACCCGAAACCTTAAACCCTAAACCCCCAAAAACCCTAAGCACTTGAAGCTGCTCCTTCGAGGGGAGACGAAGCTTGGCTTTAAGGATTTCAGGGGGCTTCAGGAACCTTACTTAGGGGCTTCAGGGGCTTCTTGTTAGGTGTCCTGATGATGTCCTTCCACAGGAAACAGCTCTCAATCGAATCTGCATCCTGACCTGTAGGTTTAGTGAGTGGACATGGGGAACTATATCCCTGTTGGGAGAACAAAAGAACGATGCAGGCGTCAGGGGTGACAAGGGGTCAGGGTGCAATGTGCCCTCATGAAGCCGCTCACGTTCTGATACCTCTTTCTGTGCCAATCCTTAAACCCCAAAAGGCTAAACCCTAAATCCAACAAACCCAAACAAAAAACGCGCAGCTGTTCGAAAACTCCCAAGACAAGTCCCCAAGATCCGAACCCTGAAGTTGCCCAGGTGTGCGCTGCTTGGGCAGCAACCTCACCCCAAAGCACAGCAGGGAAGCATATAGGGTCTTGTTGGGTATATACATATAGGGTATGGTAAAAAAATATATATATATATATATATATATGCATATATAGATATAGATATAGATATAGATATAGATATAGATATAGATATAGATATAGATATAGATATAGATATTTTATATAGGGTACGGGATGGGTATTCAGGGTTAGACAGTCAGCGAATCGCCGCAGGGTCGCCGAGTAGACCTTTCCGGCGTCTGCCCGCGCCACCCTCATCTTCTTGATGGTTGGACCTGCTCCACAGGATGGCTTTTATAGGCCCATCACAGCTATAGGGTTTATAGGGTTTACAGGGTGTATAGGGTTTATGGGGTTCATGCGATTTATAGGGTTTCAGGAGTTTCGGGTTTGGGGTTGCATCTTTCCCAGAGCTGAGGCTTCAACGCGCGCACTCCATCTGCGGGATGGGGCGGCCCCACCTCCACCTGCAGGGGGGCAAGCTCAGCAGCTCGTCGCTTCTTAAGGCCACGGCTGCGTGACAGGAGCCTCCACCTGGTCCGTGCCGTTCGGCACCGGCAAGATGACCTGGCCAAGTCCATGGCGCTTTCTCAAGAACAAAATGCCGCAGTGGCAGTCATCATGCGCCTGAGGCAGCCCCGCGGAAGAGGGTGGCTCCATCGCATTCCTTGAGGACCTCGAGAAGCGGGCGAAGAGCAAGTGAGCGCAACGAAGATCACGACATTAACGCCATTGAACGATTGCATGGGACTCTGAGTAATTAAGGTAGTCCAGCAAACACGAAGCCCGAAGCAGGACTCAAAGTCTCATCCCGAAGACGCATGCCTGGGTGCATTGCATCGTACGTGCGAGACCGCACAAGATAAGACTAGGCTGCATTGTATGCTAGAATGCTGGGGGAATATTGGGCAATACCTGCGTGAAGAACACAGGCTGCGGCCAAATCCAGGCCGTCGGGCTTCCAGCACGTCGGCTGGCAGAGCACAAAGCCAAAATGGCTGCAAGCAAAATCTAGCGCGGGAGCGTGTATGGTATACAAATGAAGATGCAAGGTATTGAGCTGAAAGCTAACAGTAACTAACAGCTACAACGATCCACCACGCGGCAGATTCTGAAACTAAGGCATCAGTCTTGGCCCCAACCGTTTCACAAAGTGAAGAGATGCTTTAGCTTTTGCTAATCAAAAACGCAGGACCCACAAGACGCTCAAGGTTTTGGGTTTAGAGATAAGCTTTTGAGCCTCTGGGCTTTGGGTTTAGAGTTTGTTGCAGAAGGCTTCAGGCATGATGGCCTAAGCGACAGATTGCTCCTGCTTTTCATCTACGGCAAGCTGTGGGCGAAAGAGCTTCCGAGCAACTGCGCGCTTTTATTCGGGAGCCTCGCGCAGCCCGGATCCACATCTCCAGGATAATGTTCCGGACCCAAAAAACAGAGCGATCGAGAGCGAGCCAGAGGGAGAACCACAGAGACAGAGGGAGAGGGAGAGGGGCACATGGGAGTGGGCCATTCCATTGCCCCCTGCCTTATTTGATGACGGATCGAAAATCTGGAGCTCAGAGCGGAGAGGTAAACGAGGGCGCGTGCCGGGATGTGCAGCGGAACACCTTGACCTCGAGGACATTGGTCTGGAGATATGGCGAAGTGCGAAGATGCACCCCCGGATTTCTGTAGCAGGCTTAGGTGCGACAATCTGAACAGGCCAACTACTTGCAGTACAAGCAATGCTGTAAAGAAGCATAAGCAAGGCCAGAACGAAGATTCCACCTCACTTCTACTTCCCCTGTTTTTGCCCAATCAGATCTACCCCATCGACCTCCAGCCCTCGCAATGACCAGGTTTATAGTGGCTTTCGAGCCTAGGAACTGCCTTAGGGGTTTATAGTAGCTTATAGGGGGCTTGGGGTTTAGCTTTCATTTTTGTTGTATGACCTCTTCTTGCTGCGGCGATGCCGAGAGTCTGCGTGAGGGCCCTGCTGTGGGTGAAGTTCTGCGGCGTTGTCTACACGTGTAGAGATTACTCTTATCCCTGAAAGGGGTACATTTATGGAAGGTGTCTAATTCCTTCATTCCCTACTATATAGCCGCGTAACAAGAAACTTACCACACGTGTGCGAACATGAGCTCCTCTTGTTTGTTTCTCCGGGTGTAAACAAGCCGAGTGCGAAAAAGTACAGGCCCCATAGAAGCTACCAGTTGATCTCGTGAGCAAACTGCCTCAAACCCAATATATAGACTCAAAGGCTTCATGAGTGTACCTCCCCGGCCTTCGATCTGAAAACCTACACACAACCCGTGAACCCCTAAAACCCCAAGCCCGGCAAACCCTAAGACCCGAAAGTGCCCTACTTTGAACCTCAGGCTCGTTCTGACACCCTACTTCGAGCTCCACCTTCGACCACCTGGGTGGGCAAGTGGGGGTGGTCCTTGCGGCTCAGGGCTTTAGAACGGCTTAAGGTGGTGCAGAAGTCGGAGGGGGCCTGAGGCTCTGAATATTAGGGGGGAGGATGTCAGATTTTGGGCTGAGAGTTGGTTGCTGAGTCATGGGCATTCATTGAGGCTCCTCGGGGCTTCGGGCGTGGGGGCCAGGAGCCCAGATGCTCCTGCTTCTCATCTACGGCCAGGGTGGGGCGAACGAGGCTTCGAGCACAACCCCTATAAACCCTATAAACCCTAAACCCTACGCCCCCGACGCTTTTTTTGGCATTCGGGAGCCTGGCGTCGGTCCGGATCCGGCTGCGAAGTGGCACCCGCATGAAGGCTCACTCCTCCAGGATTGCGCCCTCGGACCCACGAGATGCGAGGGAAAGACAGAGACCGAGCGAGAGAAAATCACAGAGAGAGAGAGAGAGATGGTAAACAAAGAAACTAGGCGGAAAAAACAACTGTAAAGAACATAAAGACACGGAAAGAAAAAGGAAGCGAGTCAATTCCAGGGTTCGCCCCCCCCCCTCCCCCCCCATTGCCTTTGCTAGTGGTGGCAGAAGAGAATCGTCTCATGGTTCGGTGAAGGAGAGCCACTGAACCCTACGCAGCATCCTAATTATGCACCCTTTGCACCCTACACACCCTGTAAACTCTAAGCAACCCTCTATACGCTATAAAAGCCCTACTATATACGCCATAAAAGCCCTACTGTAAGCCTTATGAGCGTCACGTTCATGGAGTATACAAGTCTTCCATGGGCACAGTACAATCTACGATAGGAGTGAACGCCAAGACCATTATGCAGCCCAAAAACCCTACAGGCCTTGTGAGCGTCACATTCATGGAGTACACAGGTCTTCCATGGGCACAGTACAAGCTACGCAAAAGGAGACCTGAATAGAATCAAAAAGAAAACCCCCCAACAAATCTCTCTGCAGCCTCAAGCCTCAACCCTAAACCCTAAACCCTAAACCCTAAACCCTAAACCCTAAACCCTAAACCCTAAACCCTAAACCCAAGTATGCCGTGCGCCAGGTCCATCTCCGAGGCTCCCCCGCAGCCACCGGTGCCGGGCCTCGCTGGGACGAAGCTTGGGGATGAGGGAGATTATGTGTAGAGGGACTTTTATCGGGATTACAGGGTTTTATATAGGGTTTATGTAGTGTTTATATAGGCTTTACATCGGGATTTGCGGTGTTCATGTAAGGATTGGGCCGGCTATAGGAGGCATCTAGGATGGGCGCTGCTCCGCCAGCAATCCCACACCCACATCTTCGGCGCCCTAGAACTACGGAAGGGCAAAGAAGACCACCCAACCAGGCCCTGGATGGGCCCTCGATGCTAACCATGGCCATAGAATGAATTCAGAAGCAACAAAAGACCCCTTTTTCAGGGTGGGGAGTCCTTCTCTCAAAAAAAGGTGGGAAACTTCGGCAGATGTGTGTGTCCAACTAGCTCTCTTCCAAGCGGCGGGCTGCCCATCGGCGTTGGCTCACCAGAAGCCCATGATGGCGTATCACAACAGATCGCGATGGGACTGCCTTCTGTTCGGTAGCCGGAATGTTTCTTGCATGTGAAGTAATTCGTTGCCTGCCGTGGAGCTGTGAGAACATGCCGGACATGCTGACGGACTAATGGTAAAGACATCTTGTTCTGACAGCAACTGCTGTTTCGGCGTGCTACTTCCGTGCATCTGAGAACAGAAGCGGTGACGGCGAAGAAGGCTCCAGCACTGCTCCAGCGGCCGGGTCTCAAACTACAGCTGCTTTGATAAATGTGCAAAAAATCATCCGACCGAAGCCCCCAAAGTCCAGCTCCGCCTCAGAAAATTGTGAACGACGAGTTGAAGAGTGTTTTAGTGTGTTTTACACACAGCGACAAGTGATATCGGACCCTGAGCTGCAACACGGTGTTTTGAGTCACGAAGGCCTTGGAACCGCTGGGTCGCTCTGGCATTCTTCCGCTCGGACGCTGCTGGCAGCACGCAGTCCTACCGGTTTCACATCGACAAGCCGGAAACCTCTCAAGCTTTGCCCATCTTCTTGAGATCCGCAAGTTGGCCGTAGGAGATGCCCGTGCAAAATGTGAGAGGTGGCAGCGGCAGGCTCAAAACTCCACTTCAAGGAGGGTCATCCCGGCCGTGCATTAAAGAGTTTTCACGCAGTGCAAACAGACTAGTTGGCTCCAGCCTAGATCAGCCTAGGTCCTCGGGGGACCTCAGAGCTTGAGCGAGCAGATAGGCTAGACTCCAGCAGCGGAAATGCGCAGGTGCACTTTTAGGCGCCTGCAAGTGGCTTTGTGCCAACTGTTCAAGGAAGGTCATCCCGGCCATGCATTAAACAGTTAGGAACGCGCTGTGAACAGGCTGAATGCCTCCAACCAAGGCTTATGTACCTCGCCAGCAACGATCAGCAACTCATCGGGTTTAGGGTTCTGTACTACTACGGAGGTTCCTCGGCGCAAACTTTAAAGCTTGAGTGTGAAAATGCGCAGGCTCGCTTGAAAGCACCCTGCAAGCGGCTTCACGCCAACCGCCACTGGCCTCGCTTGGGCCTTGAGTGTCTGAAATCACTTGCTCGATGCAGTGGCTGTTCTCGGCACCCGGTCGAGACCACCTGCAACAGGATTCGCTTGTGGGAGCTGTTTGATGGAACCCAAACTTGTTCTGTTGGTTGCTGGTCGGCGGTGGTTCTTTTCACCAAACACTCATGTTGCAGAAAGGGCCCATGCGTCCTACGGGTGACACATGTACACAAGTCCCATGAAGCTGGAAAAATCTGGAAAACACAGGCACCCATTTTATATCATATTGTTCTGCACTGGAGACTTACATCTCAGACGCTCGGATCCTAGCCAAGCAGAGAGCCCCATCCTTCTCTTACTCAACTCAAGGGAAAAAGTTGCTTGGATGGCTTCCTCCTTCAACGAAAGTTTGGGGGGCGTCGAGCTCTGGAAGACGAGGCTGGAAGGAGAGCCTCGGGATCGGTTTTACGTGTAGAACAGAACTTTGCTCCGCGGTGCGCCGAAGGACATATATAGATTGGTGGAAAGTCCCGGATAGAAATCTAGACATTCCACGCTCCTTCCTCCGCCTGAAAACATGTGAGATTGAAGACATGTATCGCCCAAGGCTTCCGACAGTGTGCCTTGACCGGCTCTTCCTTAACGACCAGGCAGATCATGCACATCAGAGTCGAGCACCCCAAAAATGGGCGCCACCGACCTGGGCTCGCTTCTTGGGCTTGGGGTTTTTTTGAGGTTGGAGGGTTTGAATCTGACTCGGGTGCAGGGATTCAGGGTTAGGGGTCAGCATGAGACTCCCCGTACTACCCCCTCTCTACACTTCCTCCCCCCGTTTCCGAAGCTTGTCTCGTACTTCTTCTTACAAACCTTCAATTTGGCGGGGGATCAGCACACTGCTTCCAGTTTGTTCTAAAACTGACGCTTTCCGCCATTCCACACTGACTCCATGCCCCTTCTTCCTCAAATATGCAGCAGCTAGACAAAACACGTTTTCGCTCAAGGCTTTCTAAGAGGGCGCCTTGACCAGGCACGGATGTCATCCGGCTTCTCCTTGACATCCAGGCAGATGAGGCCCACATCTTGGCAATCAGAAGAGTCGAAAGCGCCAAAGGGCACCACCGACCTGGGTTTGCTTCTTGGGCTTACGGTTTGCAGGGCCAAAAGACGGCGGGGTTTCGGATTTGGCATCGTACCTCCGAACAACCTCCCAGAACTTCCCCTGCCCCCTCCCCGCCGCCCGCCCCACAAAGGCTCCCCCGTTCCTTCGCAATCCCATGAATGCTGGGAGGTTCAGCAGAGGGTGGTTTGTGAAACAAGGGGCTGCTTTTCGGGGTACTTCCTGCAAAGAGCATGGCTCGGGAGGTATCTTGGAGTCGACTCCAAAACTAAAAGAAGAAGACCCCCAAGCGGTGTTCCGTGCACTGCTGCGACTCTTCGCCAAGACCCTGCCAAGGCACATTAAGGCAAACTCGGTGTCCTTGCCACTCTTGTTCCAGCTTTCTGCACCTCGGAAGCTTATACATCTTGCTGCAGCCATGATGGCTAACATTCCTTCTGCAATTCGCCCTCCAAATCCTTTAAAGCCTTTCATTGAGCCAAGCCGCAAGGCTTGCGGACTTCACCCGGTGGCACCTCCGGAGGTGAGGCGGCGACTACCGCGTGGTCGAGGACCTCCCCGTCGTCTGCAAAACATCTCCTCGAAAAGAATGGGGCAGGTTCTGACTGTTCCGACTGGAGACTACAATTACAAGCAGGGTACCTCTTGCTGTAGGTGGTGACCTTGCTGCGGGGTCCGTCTGATCGTGAAAAAACAACGACCCATGATGAAATGTTAAAAAGAAAACCCCATAAGCCCTACAAACACTACGTGCTCACAGCCTCGGGCCCCTCTGCTGGGCATTTCCCAAAATAGGGGCACCCCTTTTTCTAGAATCCCCTTTAGGGGACCAGGGTGCCCCTATTTTCGGAGTGAGAAGAGATGGCTTTTTCTGGCGCCCCCGTCTCCTGGGATCCTTCTCACCAACCCGGGAGGCGCCCAGCGGCAGAGGCTGTGTCTTTTGCACCATACGACACTCTAAAGGCCATTCTGCATGCTCGTGCAACATACTTGCTTCATGATTTGCGGTATTTATGTTGCAGAATAAAACCCAAGTGGTGGGGCTAGGTCTGCTGCAAGTAGCCTTAGCTCACGTCGTGGTCCCCAAGCTAATCGAAACTAATCCGTGATGGATCTGAAGCTACCAGTTCCTGGCCTCTGTTCACATCGTTATTTCTAGAGCTTCCATGTCGTGCCCAGTGTCTCTATTCCAGTTGGCTCTTGATAGCTGGTGGAATCACAGACGAATCCACAAGCATGGAAGTTCGAGGCTTCGTGGAAAAGTTACATCAAGTTTGCCTGCTGTCTTGCCTAAGTGCCAGAAGCAACTCCTCCCAAGCGCCAGAAGATCCCACTCCCATGGCATGAGTTAAGAACCCGCTCCCATGGCAAGGCCTTGTTGACAGGCACGGGGCACGTTGGCATTGAAAGTCTGTTGCTTGGGTGAGACATGGTGAGACAAAACTTGCAATAGCAGCCGGCTACCAACTAGTTAAGCGTAGTCATAGAGGAGCAGCCCCCAAAGGTTGGGAGATTCTGTGGGGCGGGTTTGTTCGGAGCTCTTGCACGATGCGAAGCGAGCCGGGAGACCGCATCCCCGAGGGAAAAGGAAATGTCCCACCCACACCCCGAATTGTCGGGGCTGCGGTCTCCCCTTGTGTTTTTTGTTTCAACAGCTTCGGGCTCCGAAGCCAAACCCACCAAGAGGCACCTCTGTGCCACAAAGTGTATGTGCTGCCAGGCCCTACGTGGCCCGGGGGGCCTCTTCTTCGATCATGACTCTAGTCAACCCTAAACCCTAAGCCCTAAGCCCTAAGCGCTAAACCCAAAACCCTAAACAGCTCCCTAAACCCTAAACCCCAAAACCCTAAAAAAGGTTTTTTTTATCAGCGCCCATCAGCTCCTCAGGGCCTCTTTGGATGCTTCGGAAACCACAACAGCGTTTGGCGTCGCTCGGCGCCCGAGGACTTCACTTCTCAACCCTCAACCCCCCCAAACCCAGACCTTCCAAGCCCTGTAAGCCCAAAAAAAAACCTAAACCTATAAACCCCTAAACACCCTAAGCCTACATTTCCAAGCCCGAAGCCCCAAAAACCCTAGTTTTATGGGAGAGCTTCCCCCAGAGCTGGGCGGTCGTTTGGCCTCTCTCTTCGGAGGGCTCAAAAGGAGTGAATTCTCCGAGCGCTGTGGGCATTCGCAGTTCTTATAAGTTGCTTATAAGTTGGCCCCCTTGAAGCCCTCAGATGCTAAGATACTCTTACGAGGATTCTTGGCAATCTTGTGGAGCCTGCAACGCTCCTAGCGCTGCGGGCGGAGCTTCAGATCTTCCATGGTACGATCCCGGAAGGCAGCGGCGACTGCCTGCATCATCGAGATTTCTGTCTTCGTTTCTGCTTTTTGGCCACATGTGTTCCGACTAGCAGCAGCAAAAGGGACCTACCCAGCCACATGAGCGAACCCGACCGTGTTAGCAATGTCCTGACATGCATCGGGGGCAGCAACCTGTGCCTGAACCTTGCCAGTGAAGGATCTCAGCATTGGCGTCGTGACCGGGGGTTGCTCTAGATGAGAGGTTTCGTTTGAATACCCTAAAAGCAGCCTGCGATATAAGAGCCCAAAAAGGAAACCAATGACCTATATAGAGCAAGCCCAAAAAAGATCCAAAGCTTCCACCGGAAACATCAAGCTGAAGGGGTTGAAACACTCCCAAGCCCGGCTTTCCTGACCTCCACGCCGGCGTCGCTGAGAGAATTCTCGTGGAGCCAGAGCATTTTGAGCACCCTGTTGTCGCGGAGGCCGTGGACCAAGGCCTGCGGCGCGGCTTGTTGCTGAGGGCGAGAGAGAGAGAGAGAGAGAGAGAGGCATTCGCAATTGTTGCTGCTTTAGATTCACTGCGTGGCCGTTCATCGAAGCGCCCTGAAGACTCAAAACTTCTAGGTCCAAGACCTCCAAGTTCAACAGCCCCAAATGTCCCAAACTTGAAAACACCCCGAAGCCGGACAGCAAAAGGGACAAAGCCGCGCAAACCCCGCACCTCGGCTCCCGCATCGCTGATCCGATTCTGACTCAGGGTCAGCCCGGTCAATTGCAGCAGTCGCGGCAGGACCCCGGCCAAGGCCTGCGCAATGACACCGAAGCCCGGCAACACTCTGTGAGCCCGACACAGTCACTTCGCCTTTTTAAGTTTCTGAGGGCCATGCTTTGGTTCACAGAACGTGGGGCTATGGAGCCACGCTGCTGGCCTGCACCTACTATAGCTATACCCCTTTCACCAATGCGACTCAGGTCTCACTGTGCTCTTAGCCGCCGTCACCAACAGTGAACCCAAGAGGCCAAGGGGACTCTTGCAATCTTACACGAAATCTCAGCGTGGAGCTGTGCACCGATTCTGCGAAGCTGCATTGAAACTTACTCTCGAAGAATACAGCAACAGGCTACCCTGACTGCAACATGCCTTTGAGAACTCCAATGTAAAATGCTCCGCCTTCCCGCATACACTTCTTCAGAACCCCCTCACCGTCCTCACCCGTGCAAGCTTAGTCCCAGAGAGCTTCCTCGTGCATTTCACTCCGGGGCTGTCTTCCCCGGCGCAGAAATTGGAGGATGCGCAGAAGTGAAAGGATGATGAGCCGCAAAGGTTGTTGGATTGTCGGTTCCTAAAGAATGCCAACGTCGTCGGCCTGCGCGCCATCATCGCCGAAGCTGTTGTCGCGCAAGCCGAGATACTGCGCAGTTCCCAAAACAATACAAGTATCAATCTCAGACGCTACCATACGCTACTTGCTCACTGGAATACACAATGCGAACAGTGCACCTGCACAGGGCCTGGCAAGCACATTCCACTCCATCACGAGGCTTTCTACAGGGCTGCAATTCAGCATGGCAACACGGCCTGCATCTGAGTGAGGTGCTGGAGGACTTCGGCCAGGGCCTGCATATGATGCCAAGCCCGCTTCCCAAAACCTAGATTTAGAATGTTTAGATTCTAAACTCGCAGCACGTCGCTCTTTCAGCTGCGCGTCCCAATCCCATGCAGCTGCCGCAGCATGCTGTTTCCCAGATTTCAATGGGAACTCCTGCAAGGTTACGAATGAATGATTTGTTATGATTTGTTGATTTAGAGGGCCCAAACTCGATGCCGAAAAATGGTGTCTTGCAAGGGCCTCCCCAGTTGCTACTTTCTGTTTTCCATGCACGTTTGGACAGCATGCTCACCTGTTCGCCGCTGGGGTTCACATCAATCTTCAGATGTTCGGGAAGCAAGTTTTTACGGTACTGACGCAGGAGGCAGGAAACAAATCACGTCTACCAGCTGCAGCTCGAGACGATGCCTGGAGCCCGACATCTGTGATGGAGTTGCTGAACACCCTCAAGTCGCTGAGCTGCGCATGTGGCCGCAGCGCGCTGGCCAGGGCCTCGCTCCCCGTGCCCCATGCCGCACGCAACATGCGCTGCATGGACTTGCCCTCTTTCCACAGAAAAACCCCTACAATCCAATTGAACTGGCTGGCAGCCCCAACCTTCCAGCAAACCATCCGCGCACAGGATGCCCCGTGCCAAGCCTTGATGCCACCGTCGCCAATGCGGTTTTTGTAGAGCATCAGCGCCTTCAAGGCCGCGTGTCCGCCCAGGCCAGCAGCGAGAGCCTGCCGAAGCTGCCCCATTGAGCCCTCCGCATCCCCCAGTCTTGGACTGTGTCACTGTGTGGGCTGAAGGATAATCGATGGCTGATGCCGGGGGCGAGGGCATTCATGCAGGTTCCGTGAACTTAATTTGGTGTGCCGATGAGCCTAAAAAACGTCTTCCTGATCCCCCGAGCCCCATTGACCAGCCGCCACAACTGAGACGAACGGACCAGCATGACAGGTTTGTCCTGTGCGTCTCGCTGCTATAGTAATGGTTGGTGCCGTGATTGGCGCCTGAGCACGTCGGAGTTCGGGGGCCCTGGGCTTGGTTTATCCTGGCCCGGCTGCCGGGCCCCCAAAAGTCGCCAAAAGACGACAACATGGCAGATGCTTCAGCGCGGCTCCCGGTGAGGCCCGAGCTGCCAGAAAACTTGCGCCAAATGCCGAACGCCCCTTCCCAGTCCGAGTCTCTGCAGAAAATAATATACACTTAAGACGGAACAGGCAGCCAGCCCCTTGCATGTTTCAGGCGCTCTTAGCATGAGGTGATTGGCCTGCATGTCGAAAGTTAGGCTTGCCGCATTTCGAACTTGCAGCGTGCATGGCTCCATCTGCCAGAATGGAATTCCTCACTGTTGGCACTGACCCACGGGCCCCTTGAAATTCAGCAACTGTTGAGAGTCGACCAGCTCATGACAGGTTTGTCCTGTGCGTTTTGCTGCTTCGCAATGGTTGGTGCCGTGGTTGGCGCTAGCGCGTCGGAGTCGGAGTTCGGGGGCCCCTGGGCTTGGTAATTTTCCTGGGCCCGGCTGCCACAGTCGTCAAAAGACGAAAACAGAATGACAACGCAACACCACGAGCATGAATGGGGCGCGGGCGGAATAGTGCACCAATACACTGACAAAGGATACGATTTAGATACGTCTTGGGGGCCAGCAGCGTTTTCAAGTTGTACTTGGGTCATTGAAAAGGGAGTGAAGTGGTGGCGTGTCCTTTTCACTGCAAGGCTCACGACGTTTCATCTGTCTAAAGGGCACGGACCCAAGCCCAGGCTTCCCTGCCTCCCACAGACGCACTTAACCTACTGCCCTGCGCTGCTTTTGCCAACAGAATGCACAGCATTGCACAGCCCTCCTCTCCCCGACTCTCGGACCCTGGGGCCTGCCAACTCTTGAAGCCTCTAACCCCATTTATTTGGAAACTGCCAGAACTGAGATGTCTGGCTGGAAGGTGCTCAGCATCGGTTTCGTGCTGGAGCGCACCATGAGTTTCGTTAGGACTGGCGTGGGCTTGACAGTCTAGGTGTTCAAACACTCCGCTTGGTCTATCTTGCCTCGGCTCAGACAAAAGTACAACATCAAATGAGACCAAGTCCCCCGCTAGATTCGATTTGGAAGATCCGAGGTCTGTATCAGTGCTACTTAACTTCAGTACTGGCTATGCGGAAAGCTGATGTCTGCCTCTATAGCCCGCAGGGCTTCACAGAACGCGCTCGCTTAAGAAGTCTTCTGTGATATTTCCACAGCGGCCCAGCCTGGGCTCCAGAGTCTCCGATGGCATTCTCGCCCAGCCCCAGCTCCTTCGCCGCGAGGGGCTCGTAGGAATGCGAACTTGTGGCATTCGAGTTGAGAGAAGATGCGGCCGCACGGCGATTTTTGAGGCTTGCTGCTGCCCTGAAAAGGCTTCAGCTTTGGTGCGGCTCAGATTCAGATCGAGACTTCGGGCAGACATCTCTAGAACTGCACCGCCTTGTGTTGTTTTCATGAAGTCAACAGACGTGATGCCTTTGCACGAGGTATGCCGCCATCCTTGCGAGACCCCATGCTATGCAACGCGTGCATCCGTCGGAAAATGCACGAGCTTGTCAGATCAAACTTCAAACTCAAGCAAGCTAGGCACTCGACATCGGACACTCGGATACTTGGATCCATGGATTAATGTGGCATGCGACAATTTGGTGCTGTCAAGCTTGGCAAATCTGGGGCTCAGGATCAATTCGCAACGCCCTGACAAACGGGACTGACGACCTACCCTTCGCGACATCCCACGCGACTCAAAACCAAGCGAGCTTCAGGGAAGTGCCTCAACTGGAAGCTCCTTATTGGACATTATAAGGCCTAAACCCTAAACATCCCAAAGCCCTAAACCGATGAGGAAGCGCGGCTAGGCAGCCCATGAACCCACAGCTTCGACAGGCTCCAAGATCCCTTTCAAACTTCGGGGGGGAAGATTCCTTCAACTCGCGGTGTTTAGGGTTCGGGGCTTTATAGGGTTTGGAGAGAATCCTACAGCTATTCAAGGAATTGTCCTTGCTTAAGGGTTTTTGAGCTACCCTTCACGTTTGATCAGTCAAACCCGAATAGCATGCCGCTCCCAAGCAGAGCTCCCCCGGTGACCTTTACAAACCCCGGCGGAGACTGGCAACTGGCGGTCCTTGATGTTCGGGAGAGCTTTCAGTGCTTCTCCCAGGGCCTCTGCACACGAGGAAGTTTGGGGAGAGCGGGTCTTGGAAGTTGGGAGGGCCAATGTCCCGGACTTTGACTCGTCACAGTCCGAGGCTCTCAGGATAACTCCGCAGGAAATGCTTTTTGTACGCACTTAAGACGGAACAGGCAGTGCACCTGCACCGAGCAAATCCCAACTTGATCAACTCCAGGCCTGCGTCCCCGCATCGCCGAAGCCGTTGTTGGCCAGGATAAGGTCTCGTAGGTTCTTGTGGCCTGCGAGGCCCTCGGCGATGGCCTGCATGGGGGCAGGCCACGGGCAGAAGCACGCCTTCCGCCCTCAATCTTGCAATCACGTTGCCGGACATCGTAAAATATCTTCAGGGCCTCTATACAGCACCGACTCGACAACTTGCCCCCTCCCGAGGCCTGGAGGCCGCTGTCGCCGATGCGATTGCCGACCAGCCACAGCAGCCGCAGCGAGGAGTGGCCACCCAGACCCGCTCCAAGGGCCTCCGCAGACGACCGAATCTATGGACTCTTTTGTCTTTTGGAAACGGTGTAGGCATCATGGCCTGGCCGGGCAAGTACCCTGATCCGGGGATTCTAAAGGAGAGCCAAGTTCTGTTTCCTAGGCTTGGCGGCACGTAGTTGTAGAACCCTCCCAGAAAGTGGGAAAGTCCTTGCTGAAACCCAAGGCATATCCTCCTCGCAGGGTCTCCCGCACCCGACCCCCCCCTCCCCCGCGGGCTCGCGCATGCAGGCCAGCAAAGGGGCGCAGAGTACCGACATCACTCTAGTCGCATCATATACGTACAGAGGAAAGGAGGTTGAAAGTTCATGGCCGTAAGAAACTATATGTATTGCAAGTTATGCTTGGCGCAGGACGAGTACTGGAATTGTGAAAGTACGCCAATGGGCAAGATCTGATATTTTCGATCCTTAAGGGGGTTGTCGGTGCGAAGCAAGGGTATTGCAGATAGCTTCGCCTCTTAGGGGGTTGTCGGACAAGAAAGGGTATTGCAGATACCTTGGTGTTCTAATTGTGG